TACTTTGTACATACATACATACATACACACACACACACACACATATATGTATACACACACATCCACAAGGGCTCCCAGTGTTACAGCTCCCATGTATTCACAGCAATACGAGAGCTTATTTCCTCCAAGGAAGTCAGGAAAAAAATCCAGCCATGACAGAGGTGCTCAGATATAGAAGAAATTACAGCTACAGCGTTTCATTATCTGAGTGTCTCTGAAAGCCATGTGTAATTTCCTAAGACGATACATTCAGCCCTCCTAATATTGCCAGTGATGGAAAAAGGTGCACTATAGTCATCAATGGTACTTTGCTTCCCCATCTGTGTTTCCTCAAGAATTGTCCAAGATACCATGATTCACTCTGGCTGCTTAAGCCATGAGCTCCCTCTAGTATCAAAAAGGATTAATGCAGTTGGTACCTTTGTCATCCTAAAGGAACAGAGAGCAAATGTAAGGAAGTATCAGTAAGATGAAGGAAGTCTGACCCTTTTCTTCATTTTTGACAACAAACCTCAAATCAAAACAAAAAACCCTTGAAGTTATTTCTGTGCACATAACTAAACACTGTCACCTTAAGAACAATGAGGCAAACACACCTACAGGGCAGGAAAAGGCATATTTTACATCCTCATCCAGCAAACATGGCTAGAGATTGTAGAAGTGCACTCTGGTCATCACCTTTCACAGGAGAGCAGTATAAACTGGCAAGATGATGACTCTGGCTTTAGAGATGTGCTCGTTGCTTAAAAGAGCATTGTCACCAAAAAGGAAATGATAGAACAGAAAAGAATGAACTTGGATAATAGGTAGCTCAGGCCACAATATTCAGGTTGGGTTTTTAGAGATTCTCTAGTAATTACTTCCATTTTATAGCATTTGGGAGCAAAGCAGAGGATTATTTTAGTGGTGTTAAGAGCTCCCCTTCCCCAAGAGTACCAAAATGCTGTCCCTTGAATAAATCATGTGAGTGAGAAAGGGCTCCCCTGCTATGGTTTAGATCTTTCATCTAGAGTGTGTTGGCAAGTCTTCTTTCCCAGACAGAGGAGAAGAAGAAGAGATGTAGCCAACATCTTTTTTGCTGGCATTTGGGAGTAGTTTTAGAGGTGGTAAGCACAAACATGTGCTAAAGCCTGTATGTCCCTGCTCCAATGGCTACAGTATTTGTGCTGTGCTAGGGGCCCAGGAAGCCTCTCCCTGTGGCACAGTAATTCTCTCAAAACACAGAGGGAGCAAAGAATGACCAACAGAATAAGGCAAAACTCCTGACAGAAGCGAGACACCAAATGGATCTGCTGCTACACATAATTACTGGACAAAATTGCAAGACAAAATAACGTGTAGAAGCAACACCAGCTAGTGCTCAGCAGTTAAGAGAGAGCCTTCTTCCATTTTCAGGAGAAAGCCACAACTCTGTAGCCCAGGCAGGCACTTTAAATTTCAGTTGTTTGTGACATTCCTGATGACTCCTCTGCGCTAGTGTCTGCTGCCCTGTCTTTGACATCAAAGACTTGTCCTTGACATATATCCCAGGTCCACCAGTGAAAGAGGATTCCTTCATGCTACCAGTATTCCTGAGAAAGATCTCCTCTCATAATCTGTTGGCTTAAGTAGCTATCACCCCTCCCAAAGATAAGAACTAGAGAATAGATAGCCTGACATAGAACATACTCCTTCCAAACAGCCTGAAGGAGGACTGGGAAAGCATCTTCCCACTTCAAATGCTACAGAAATAGCTGGATCACTTAGTGGAGTTCAACCAGCTGCCATCAGAAAGCTCCCAAGCACTTTCTCTGCAGTGCTGCTTATTCGTTGTCCTAGAAATCTTTTGATCTGATATGGGAACAACCAGAAAAAAACAGGACTCATGTCCATTCTCTATTTTGTTCCTTTTTCTCTCATCTGCTGGGTATAGGGATGATGGCTGTGTCCCCTGCCAACACTCAATAACTCTGTAGCTATTGTTTTCCAAACAGCAGTGCCCTCAGGCTATCTTTTTTGCTTGACCCTGTAGACGACAAAAAATTTTCATCAGGGCACAGACTTTCCAAGGAAAGAGTGGGGTCTTAAAGATCATATAATTATTATTGTCAGTTATCTACTGCCACTCAAAGCCAACAAAAATTTGATAATAGCCAGCAGAAATGGTTTTGGATGCCTCACTCTGTGCCAATTCTCTAATCCTGTCTGACACTGCTTGTCCCTGTATAAGTAATAATGTCATAATGTGGGTTAGAACTTCAAGCTGTAAATTAGCAATGAGAATCCACAATCGAAAAATCAAAAAATTACCTGCTTTTTTTCATGCAATATTTTAAAACATCAAGTTATAAGTATAAAGACAAAAAATTAAAAAATAAATTAAAACCCCCAAAAGAAGGGTACTTTTCACCCAGTGGTTTAAGTCAATATGAGTACTCCTTTCTGGCACAAATTAATCAGACTATTACCTATTAGAGTAAGTAGCAATAGTCAAGCAAATATTATTTCCCCTCAGTCTCCCTTCTAATGGAAAATAGGAACTACTAATTTGAAGACATATTTATTTTTTTAATTTATATTTTTAAAAAATGGAGTGCCAGTTTTTGCCTGCATCATTTGTTTCAGACTGCTTTCTCAAGCAACCCATTTAAACTAGGATGTGGTAAAATGACACTAAAAAATTACCTTTAACTCAGTATGTGGCCTACCTAGAGACTCCTTTCCTGGCTAGGAGTGAACAGGAACAAATTTGTGTGTGCTGCTGAGAGGATTTTGGAGGTTTGTGATAGCGTGTGCTCAGGTCCACAATACCAGCTTAGTCCATGCTCCAGATCACGTTCTATGGGTTTTTCAAAAGCAGGAGTTAGTTTTGGTGCACATTTTCTTTGTGATACGGACTTTGTTAGGTCTTTCTTCAATATTTTCCACCGCTTCTCTTTTAGAAATTTCTGACACAGCTCATTATCACCTAGAAGACAGCTAAAATATTTGGTTGTGACACTGCACTGCACTTCTCATGTAGCCAAAGGTTAACCATTAATTCTAAAACAGCAAGCAGGAATCTGAGTAAGTGCTGGTCAAGTAGCAAATAACCTCGTTCAGTTCTTACTCTGTGGGCAAAGATGGTAAACTCTTGATGACCCATGCAAAGGAAGTACTGCTTCAGGCATCAGCCTTGGTGAATGCCAAGATTCAATAATGGTAACAGCAAAAAACTGTTCTCCTCTAATTCCTCAAAATGTCAGTACTCACCACATTATGTCAATGTTGTCTTCCCAGCAGCCTTAAATAATTCCATCTCTGGAATACTAGTTTTTATGTAGACAGCCAACTCTACTAACCTTTCTGTCAATCACCTAAGCAATGGAAAAGAATTTTTTTTCTAAGTTAGTAAACAAGACTACTTCACATACCAGAGACAGCACACCACTGGAATGTATGGACAAAAATTCCCTGAAGAAATTAAGTGACAGCAATTGGAAATCTGAAAAAAGCACCCAAATGGCGGTATTATCTATCTGTAATATTGTTACTACTATATCCTGGATCCTAGAACACTCTCCAAATAAGCTTAATATATTATCTTTTGTTACCAGACAATGTTACAGAGAAAAAAAAACAACAGTTTTTTTAATCCTCAAGTATCTCAAGACACTTACCCATGTACAAATTTAAAATATGGCAGGTGTTGCCTCTGTTTCTGGACTTAAAACATTTATTGTGCACTCTCTTCTTTTTATCATCTCACTGGTATGTCAGCAACAAGACACTAAATAATGAACACAAAGTATTTTTAGGCATCTCATAAAAAAGCAGAAAGCATTGCTGCCTCACAGCATACTATATTTGTCTATGATGCCAGTCAAACCTCTCTGGAAGCCTTGTTGATCTTTATAATGTTATGCCCAAAAGGTAATGTTTCTCTGAGTGCAGAGGTGGCTTCAGTGCCTACTCTCTTCAGAAATTCTGGCCACTCAAAATCAAATATGATTTCAGTTTCCTTATCTGAAGCCATTTTTGCTGCAGTTTGGAACCTGCAGTTCATTTCAAAATAGTCACTTCATTGCTAACAACTGCTAACAACTCTTAAAGAAATCAATTCCAAAAGTAAAACACAGATAAAAGAGTGAATACAGAATGTGACGTTTCTCTCAAACGTCTTCTGATAATTATCAATAATATTCAAACACTTCTACTATTTCCATTAGAAAATACATGAAATATTGTATATCTTGCCATGAAGAACTTGTGTATTATGCTCTGTGTGTTAACTATTAACTTATTTTAACTTACTCTATATAAGAGATCAGATAAATCAGACCCCACATTGAGTACACAAAGGAGCTGAACACCAAGTAAAAGCTTGACAAAGCCAACAGAAACCAAACCCACCACAGACTGGTGTTTTACAAAGTGCTTTATTTCCCAGTTCTTTCTGCAATAGCTCATAATCTTTATTTTTGTTTGTAAGGTCAGCATAAACATCAGCATAGCACCAAAAGTATTAGCCTGTGGCTAATCTCTGAAAGATCTTACCTTACTAATGTTAATTATGCTGGCTGACTATTTTTTGTTACCACCTGTCCACAGTGAAACTTTTCCATTTTTGCAGTTATTAGCTAATCTCTCATTTTGCAAAGGAGCTCAGAAGTCTGAAATAAAAGGAATGGAGACACTTTTTTTTTTTCACAGATTGAACTGGCTGAACAAAACTATGTTTCACTATGAAAACATTGATCTTTTTTAAATCGCAACCAATAAACCCTAAGCCACAGCTCCTGAAGATGCTAAATTTGGTTCTAGTGTAGTCTGTTTCTTCAAAGATGTCAAACTCACTTTGCCTGATCCAAGTTCACAAATTTATGGAGTACTTCAGTGCAGAAGATTTTTTGGTAGCTATGGAACACAGATAACCATGGACTCCTCCAGAGCAGACAGTGGCTAAGCAAGCAGGGATGTCCTCAAGAGCTGCACAATGAGGAATTCCTTTCCTTTCCATAAAACTTCAAGAGAAAAGAGAAGTGCCACATGTATTACTTCCATGGCCTTGACACAGCCAAAAAAGCCTAATGAATAGATGATACAGTAAATAAACTGTAAGACAATAATCAACAGTGTGTGATATCACTGGAAGACATCACTTGATGAAGTTATAATGACAGTGCAATTCTTTCTGAAGCTCATCTAATTTATTATCAAAGAAGTCTTCTTTATCCACCACAAATAGCTTTGTATCCTCCAGACAGACAACTAACAATTCACCATCTTCCTTTTAACAGAGAATCTTCCTTTCATAGTGAGATGTGAAAAGAGGGGAAAAAATAGATTAACTGAGCTAATATTAGGAAGCTATCCGTAAATTTTGTATTCCAAACAGTGCCCCCAATAGAAACCATTAAGTGTGTCATGTCAGCTAGTACCCTGTCTTGATACCCTTGGTGTCCAGTGCCAGGTATTTTTCACAGGTGGAGTTAAGAACACACATATAAAACCTACCCTCTAAACGAAGTTCCCGTCTCATTCAGGAAAATAATCTCTGAAAAGCACGACAATAGAAATCTCAATCCCAAGCTTTGTTTATTTCTTTTCCCAAAGTTAACAGCACTTTCACCAAGGATGCTGTTCACTGCAAACTTTGCTCCATTCTGAAGCACAGACAAACATAATGCTGTAAAGATGCCACATCCTTAACATCTGTAAGAACAGCACTACCAAAGTTACCATAAAGTAGAATCCATGATGCAGCATCCTCTCCTCAGAATGATTCTTCCATGCTCAAACCTGTAAAAATATGGCTGGTATTCTTTTCCAGCTGAAATGTAATGGATTGGACCTGTTCCTGAGTTAATTCTCCATCTGAGCTTTACTTTAGTGAAGAGGTGAACCAGCAGAACTTGAAAGGCCTAACCAGAATACATCCAGAAATACAACTTCTGATTCAAACAAGTTACACTCCTTTCTACACACAGAATGAATCCTTCAAATCCTTAAGAATTGTATTAAAAAATTAAAAGCAAAAGTGACTTGCAGTGATCAAACAGAAATCAGTAAGCATTTTCCACTGAGTCCAGATGTAAATTTCAATATCTGATTCAATGTGAGAAAAAATAATTTATTGCCAATTAAAATAGATTAAATCAGTGAGAAACAAATGCAAATTAAATCAGCACCTTCCCTTCATGCTCCCCTCTTTCCTCAGACTCAACTTCACACTTTCAACCCCCAACTTCTCTGCCTCCCTCTGTCCAAAGCAGCACAGGGCAAAGTGGAATGGGGAAGTTGCAGTCAGTCTGTAACAGCTCCTTTCTATCACTCCATCCTCTCACTTTTCCCTTGCTCCATCATGGGTCCTCTCCACAGGCTGCAGTTGTTCAGCATAAGCCTGCTTCCATGCAGGCTCTCCACAGGCTGGAGTCCTTCGGCATAAGCCTGCTCTGACATGGCTCCTCTCCATGGGCTGCAGTTCCTTCAGAAAAATCTCCACCTGCTCTGGTATGTGATCCTCCACGGTCTGCAAGGAAATGCACACTCCAGCACCTGAAGGAATTCCTCCTCTCCTTCTCTGACCTTGGTGTTCAGAGGACTGTTTTTCTCACCTTCTTCCTCATTCCTCTCTGCCATGCAGCATTTTGCCCTGTGTTAAATACACTTCCACAGAGGTGCCAGCAGCTTCACCAATGTGTTCAGCTGTGCCCCGTGGTGGGTCCATTGCAGAGCTGTCTGGAACCAGCTGTGTCCTGCACAGGGTCACCCACACCTGGGCACCTGTACCCAGTACAGAAGCACAAACTACAAGCTGGAGATAAGGAACTTCCTCACCCTCTCCTCTGCTCTCTTTCAAGCTGTGCTCAAAGAGTCATTTGTGGGGGCCCAGTGGGCCAGACTCTCAGACAGATATGGATTCGAAACAACGGAAGGGGGAGATGGACAGTTCTTTGTACTGATAACGTGCTGGTGCACACAGTGCACAACAGTGCTCTCATCAGCACAGCTCTGCAGTTGTGCTGGCCTCTGTGGAGATGCAGAAGCAAAACCTGTGGCAGGTTCTCACAGTTCCTGTGAGAACTTCTGGAGTGAAGGGGACAGCAGAATTCACCCCGGTATCTCTCCCTCCTTAAGCAAAACCTAATGGCATCTTACATTTCAGTCATGTAAGGAATCAACCTCCAGCACAGTAAGGCAGAGAGGAAATTTATCCCCAAATGTGGGAAACCGAGGATAGTGCAGTTTTTTAAAACGAGAAATTTGTTTCTATACTGCTCTAGAGAGGAGAAAGAAGCAATAAGAGAAAGGCAGAAAAGTGAAAAATGAGAACATCTAAAACACTTCCCCCACTCCCAAAAAGCACCAAGTATGAGTACAGTGATAGGACACAAAAAACCCCAATATGGGTAGGGCAGCAAGAGGTAATTTTATGGCTTGTATTACGTACAAAGTTAGACATGCACCAGCACCTGACATGAAAAACCTGTACACCCACCAAATTATTGTGAAGATATTGATTTAAAACTGGTAAAGCCCTCTCTCCACAGATCATCTGTTCTCAGTAGAAGTAAGAAGGTTAAGAAAGTTCCCACTTTCTCCATCTCCTTCCATGTACAAAACACCTCAGATGTGGTAACTTTTAGCTTTGTCAACAGTCAAGAACATTGAGTTGTCAGACCAGCTTGCATTCAGAAGATAACTACTGCACTGAAGATAAAAGCAAACATACATGATTACCCTTCTAGCTTTTATTAGATGTGATCTTAGAGAATAAATAATAACAAAATCAATGACTAAGAAGTTGTATATTAAAAAAACCATTTACCATCTACAGTGAGCCATTTCAGCCAGAAGAAAATGCAATCTTCAGCTGTAACTTTGAGAGCTTTCTATCTCCTGTAAGCAGCTTGTTGCAAACTTCCCTTCCTCTTCTGTTCTGTGCTCTGGTCTCTTGACAGTTATCTGGAGTACTCTCAGAGGTAAATGATCCTGAGAAAACATCCAAAACATAGTGAACCAAGAGAGAAAAGTGGAAGCCAAGGAAGAAACACCTGCACACTTCAGAAAACTGAAAAGTGTCATCTGTAATAAACATAAATAATTAATTTCCAATTCTCTCTCCCATTTAATTTTAGCTTTAAGAGAATAGCTGTGAGAAAAAGTTAAATTTACGTAATTTAACAGCAACCTGACAAAGCAAAACTGAATTAGATCTAGGAGAGATTTTGAGGTCAAACTTGTGATTAATTTCCAAAAGCACTGTTAAACTCAAAGTTGGGGGTGGGGAGAAATTGAGATTAGTTTTCCTCCCACTGCTGGCCAGTATTTCTCAAGATGTTCAAGGAAACATATTGTGTAAGGGCGGTACTATATAAAGAGCAAGAGTGCCTACTTTTACCATTATATTCTTCAGTTGCTTATTCCTCCTATCAGCTCCAATTCCTAAATTATAGCATGCTTGAGGGTGACTGTCACAGGTGCTCTCAACTCTCTGTGTACATTGTCCATCAAGTTTTCATATACAGAGACCTTTAGCTTCCCTTAAGCTGGAAAGCAGAATTCCATGAGCCATCCTTCAAAAGATTAATATGAGTAGCTTTGCATCAGGCAGAAAGACAAGTGCAGCTGTTCCTGGGAGCCAGAAGGTTTGTCTTCTGCTCAACAAGCACTGCAGAACACAGGGGCATAGCCTCAGAATTTGTCCATAGCTCAGACTAAGATCAAATTCACAGCCAAAGGCTCTCAGTTCACAAGATCTGACCATTTTTGACACCCATTGGTTTCACTGAACCAATGCAAATTCCATGCACAAAGAAAATTTGCCACAGCTAGAACTGATGTGACATGGATGTTAATAAACAAATTGTAGTATGCAGATATTGTTACTGACATACTGCCAAGTAACCAGATACATTATGCAAACAAAAAAGTGCCCTCATGTGATGGGAGAAGTCATAAATGTGGATTCTGGTGTCATGCCTGTTTCCCACTCCACCCGTTCTGTTGTGCAAGTTTCATTCTGTAGCTGCTGATCTTTTTTTGTTGAAGACACTGAACAGAGTGATAATTATAGCACAGATGGAAGATCACCTACAGAGGAAGAAAAGTGCCAAACCTTTCAGGCTCGGTTTTGAGGTGCAGCTTGGAATGTTTCATGTTCTGGATAAAAAGAAAAAAAAACGATTAAAAAGGTTTAGGTTATTTTAGGTTATTTCAGGGCTAGAAGTATATAACATTATTCATTTAAAGCTTACTCTGTAAAAAACGTATCTCTGAAAGGACTTTAGACAAAAGCTCTACACTGCTTGTTTATTAAACAAGTTTTCATTTACTTTAAGAAAATATACACAGACAATAAAAAGATTAGGAGGTGCCACTGGCCTACAGTTTCACTATGACTTGCAAAGATGGCAATGCATGGATGAGTATTCATTAGTACTTTGGTACATACTCATAAAAACATAAACATTGAGATCTGTCCAAATGCTGGGCATCTTGTCAAGCAGATCAGAGACACAGTAATACTAATACTTCTGAAAAGGAAGATTTACTTTTATTTTCTATTGAAAAATCCTCTTCCTCCCACCAAAGAATGTGGGTTAAATAGAAGTTATGACATCAAACTTTAATCTCCTCTGTTCCATTCATGCTGGTCCTCTCATAAAATCTTACACACCTTCTTCATGCTCTCCATGTCCCTTGCAGGCTTGTAGAACCTCTTGAGTGGGCAAGAACAGCTATGTCAGCACACAAAGACAAATCATTGTTTCTGAAGGGTGCATTCAGGACTAGCACAGAGAGTGTTAGTCTGGCATGAGGACACTGGAACCAAACTTCTCTCTCTCTCCTACTGATCTGCCAACACGCACCTCTGTTCCTGGCTCTCCTGCTGCCATGTGACTGCCACAGCTAATTACATTTTAAATAGTATCTAGAGACAAAGACTGTCCTGCAAAATGCAGAAGCAAGTCTGTGATCCTTCCTGAAGCCACTATCAACATTTCAACAAACGACAGAGCTAAAATTTTAACAGTATTTTAGGGGTAATTTATGCTGTAGTGACACTGTCCTGCTATAGCAATCCAAGTACATTAGAAAAATGTCCAAATGGCAGACAAATAGCTCTCTAGCTCCTTCACAGTGAGGACCCAGAAATCAACTCTTATGAAAGCACTATACAACAAACAGATTTCCATCCTCTGATGAGCCTTATCAATCCCTATTAGAAAAAAGATCAGGAAGAGAGACAAATTTAATTTGCTTAGAACAGCATGGTCTTGTTTAAACAGGCAGAATGTCATTAACAGAAGCCAGTACATGCCAAATGACCAACTGAGCTGCGCTGCAGAGAGCTAAGGATGGTTGTAGTAAAAACATGAATTCCAATTACCCACATCTGATTACACGTGCCCAAAAATATCTGCATCATTTAACCACAGCTAGGTGTAATTAAAGCTGTACTAAAGAACTACATGCAAACAATTATAGTTCTGTCTGCATTTTATTTTTTTTAAGATACATACAATCCTCTGTGCATATATAATTCAAAACTATTAAGTATCCAAAGGTAACTTCCATAAAGAGGCTACCATATGCACGCTTTTTGCAAAGTTCTTCTATCTAGTAGAGGCTAACAGACTACTGATGAGAATAACTCCTACAGCTCCTATTCTTCTGTCCAGGGAAGACTCCTTAGGACAAGGACACTCAGTATTCATACTCAGAAAGCTTTCCATGCTTTTAAACCCCCTTCTGTACAGGATGGGGTCCTAGATGACAAACACACACTGATACTTTGTATGATACAGCAGCACTATTTATGATCACTCTTTTGAAGTCTCTCCAGAAAACACATCAAATCCCTCCAGAATATAAACATGTCATTTGTCATGTGCATTAGAAATGGAATGAGATATCAGATGTAAGAGCTTACATTGGAAAAAACCCAAATGCACACACATACACTCCTGTTAGGTGGTGAGATTTTTGCTTTCCCCTCCTTCTCCCCTCAAATCATACCTTAGTTGCTGCTGTTGGATAGACCACCTGGATAGCTTCTGACCTGAAAAATCAACACAGCCTGTTTTACATAATGCTTGTTTCATTCATTAATGAGGTGCACTGTTGCTGGGAGAAGATAATTGTTACTGATGGCATGGGCTCTGAAGTCTATTCCTAAGAAAGCTTTGTTCAGAAGGGCAGGGCAGATCAAAGACAATTTTCTCATCAGAGATCCGTGAAGAGCAGTAACTTTTCACAGCACCATCCTCAGCTATATCACTCTTTCTATCCCTAATGGAACAGACTTTTCCTGCCTAGACATCTGAGAACATATCTGCTTGGATAGGCTTAAGGGAGAAAATTGTAAGTTTGCCAACAGACAGACAAGCTAACAGGCAGCTACTATCCACAGCCAGAATCAGGAATTCAAGTGGTATGAAAGAGCCCAGCCCTAACAGCTGGCAGAAACCATCCTTTCCCTCCTTGTTTTATGAAATCTTTCAGTTGCTATGAATGTAATGATGTCCTGTGAAATGTGGCTCCCTGATATTCATCCAGGTAATGATGATGATGACCCCCAGAGCAAGCAAGGAAAAAAATTAATGGAATTAAAAGGAACATATGGATGTAGGATTCTGAGGAAACAGGAAGAAAAACTGACAGGGGCAAATCTCACCACTATTTAATTGTGCAGGGAACTCAGCAGCTGTTTCAACAGTCCAGCAGCGAAACATTGAGACTGGAGGACCCGATGGATGGGATTTCTCTGGAAGCCTTAGTAAGTGTGAAGAAAGAGACATTTGGCTGGATGCTGAGTATGCTTGAGGTAGACAGAGCTGCAGTCAGATGGATGAGGAGAGCAGCAAGTTAATTCAGTTGGGAAGAAAAGCTTTGTTTTCCTTGGTATCATGTAAAGAAAAAGAGTCCTGGGTTAAAGCTCCAAGAGGAGTTTCTTCTTCATATTATAAGCTAAGAATGGGCATCTCAGACTATGGGAAGTCATTTATCTGCCTCTGATACTCACCAGAAGTCAAGCAGCTTTGTTGGTTTTGAGGGCAGGACATGCTTCCCTTTTCTTCCATACCTTTAAGTTCCTACCATGAACTCAGACTATGCACTACTGGCATAGACAGGACTGTGGACAGACTCAGGAGCTGCACTGAACCTTTGTGATGGGTTCTCAACCCCAGAGCCCACCCTCACCACTGGGGCCCCATCAGCCCTCCCTGTAGGACCCTTGCTTTTCACACACCTTCATCCTACTTGTGCTCCATCATACCCAAAACTCACTGCCCTAAAATAGCTCTTGCATTTCTCCCCATGAGCCCCCATAATGACAACATAGACTGTACTTTAAAAGAAAAATTAGTTTACATTGGAATAGGAATATTATACATTAAGTTACTATATAAAAAATATATATATACACACACATACATATACAGACATCTGTGTCTCTAAATTTTGTACAAACTGCAACAACCTTTATACAACAAAAAGGACTCATTAACACTACTGGTTCCATCCAAAAGGCTGCCAGCCTTGAGTGAGAGCTCTGGTTGTGTGCTTTTTTAAGCCTTCTCTACATTTTATCAAAAAGTTATTTTTGCATACACATACAGAAGCACAGCCCTTCTTGTAAAGCAACCGATCGCTATTATGGGCAACCAACAACGAGAATAAACGGAGGATAATTTGTTCAGTTACAGTACTGTTGAAGCTCAGGGTCTCTAAGTTTGCAAAACAAATGCTTGAACATAACCACAAGAAAACAAAGTCAACATCAGAAAAGCATCCACAATTCCAACACAAAGTAATAACCAACTACTTTGCACGAAGCTACACAGCTTACTCTGAAAAATCAGCCTTGTGTATACTATTCAAACAAATTCAACTGCACTGAAAGTGGTAATGTTTACTTCTGATCTTTTTCATATACATAACAATCTTCTCTGTAAAATTTAGGTGGACATTAGTGAAAAAAGGTATTGAGTATAGAGACTGGATATGGGTGATGAGTTCATGTTGTTCCACTAACAACACGCACAAAACAAATGTAAACATATTCTTTGAAAAAGAAAGGTTAAATTAAATTAAAAAGCAACACAGTAATAAACTGAAACATGTATTTGAAAGACAAAGAATTGAAATTCTGTGAAAATGAAGAAAACGGAAAACAAAAATGTGAATATTGGCTGAAGACGCATTTCAAATAAATTTTTCGATGAACAGAATTAAAAGTCTAATCCCCAGCTTTTAAAACCAACTAATTCCTTACTGCTTCTTTAAATTTCCTCCAACTTTTTCTTCTATTGTTTTCAGAATGCCATGCAAATCAGGGTAGAATTAATTTTGCAGCCTGCAATTCAAGATGGACTAAAAGAGTATTTCCTCCAGCTGTGAGCACTAAGTTAAAAATAGAAGTACTGTCAGAAATATTGTTCAGCACAGGATGAAGCTGTAGCTTATGGTGGAAAGAACAGTGACTGTTAAAGAACAGAAATGTTAATGAGGGAACTAAGCAAGAACTGATGGAAATGTAACTTCTCTTCCCTTGAGCTTTCACTCCAACCATAAACATATTGTTTGCTTTGAAGAGAACTAAAACTGAAATAACATCTTGCTGGTAATCTTTGGCTGTAGTTTATTCTTTTGAGAATAAGTATTCTAAAAAATGAGGAAAAATTCTCGAAAAAAAAATGAGCAATATAACATATGAGAAAGATAAGATAGTCTGGAATGCACTAGTTTAAACTCTAAGAAAAACCAAAGGTGATGGAATCATTGAATACAGCAACACAGAAGGAGGTACCTGTTCTGGTATGCAGTTATTGAGTTGGAAAAGAAAAGGTGACTGCTACCTGAGTGCTCCAGAACTATGACTGCAGCAGAAAACATCCATTTTGGACAAATGTTCACAATTAACAACAACAGCAACCAAACCAACCAAACCCAACCAAACAAAAAGTCCAAAAAAACCCCAGGTGCACCTTGTGGAATTGTCTTTAGCCAGAAACAAGTAGGATATACCACAAAACAATTCAGTGTAGAAACTAAATATGAGAGGCTCAAAAAAAAAAGAGAGATTTTTTTATGCACTTGCATGATAAAATACTGGCTCTTATTTAATAAGAGCATGATCCTGTAGGAAAGTTCTAATGGGAGCTAACCCATAAACATTAGCTTTAAACAAAGAGCATTCACAATGCTAGTTAACCTCACAGGAGTTAATGTATGTTAAGACTAAGATATAGCACCTACCTAACAAATGCTGCACATAAAGGCATTTGGAACACAAGTTCAGTGTAAGATTTTTGAAATGCTCAAATTTTGAAATGCTCAAAAGAAAATGAAAAAATAATTTTAAATGTCCACTATTTAGATGATGTTTGTGAACGCTTGAATGTAAGTTAGTAAATGTAACGATTTAAAAATGTAAATATTTTGGTTCCCATAATATTTGCAATACTTTCTACTCTACATAAACAAACTAATCATTTTCCTGGGTTTTTTTTGTTTGTTTGTTTTCAAGTCATAGAAACAGAAAAGTTCCCAGACAGCATTCTTCCACAGCATACAGAAAAAAACCTCGTAATTTTATGATCAAGCTCTCGACCACTAAGTAGGAACTGATAACAGAACTGCTCCTATTGCTGTATACGAAGTATTCTGAATATTGCTCTCGGAATTCATCATCTGAAGCAAACAATGTAATTGTTTACCTTGATATCTATGTTGGTATCAGTTTAATTTCATTTAGGGCTTTAAATTGACATGGCTGCCCAAAGAAACATAAAGAAACACGTCTGTCACAGATTACACAACTCAGTGCTTGTCACTTATTATGGCTTTGACTTAAATATTGCTAAAAGATAATTTTTTTATCACATTCAATTTCTAAAGATTCCTGCTAATTATTTTAATGACATGGACCATTTTAGTCTTAGAAGATGTCACTGTTGAAAAAGATGAGTTGGTTTTCTGAATGTTATAGTGACAGTACATTTGGACATATTGCTTGGATTTATATCACTTTGTTTTCTTGGGCTTGTTAGGAATGCCTACATTACAAGCCCTACATCATGAACAGCAGCAGGTTAAATCACATTTATCTGAGCTGGTAGCTTTAAATGCATAAAGCAAACGACAGGTAAGCTGAAATGGCAGCATCCATCATTCTCCATGAGACAAGACTCCTGCATTTAGTTGTTACGACCGACTGCTAACACAGTACCACTGCAAAGGAAGGCTGCATGCAGCAATGAACCTCACCATAAAGCCAGAACACAAGCTCAAAGATGTCAAAGTTGAAAACATTCACCGTTACAATTCACACTCTTTTCTTCATCACACAACCTTACATTCACCTGGCAGCCTCACCTTTCTCCTCTCCTTGATCTTCACACCATTAACATTATGACCAGGTCGAAGTTGCATTTTCTTAAGCATCCATGTTCTTTATCACTTTGCAGTTTAGCATCCTGACCTTCATTTTGTCACAAAACCATTGCCATACTGATCAACTTTGCCATTGGATTCTGTGATCTTGGAGCTGACAGATTCTATGGTCTCTGTAGTGCAACAACAGTCGAGGGTCTCAAGGAGAAAAAGCAAACCCAGCATTGTGATCCACACTTTAAAGCTAAGGAATTAAACTGTGGAAGACCTTCAGAAACATTAACCAAAATGGGCCATTTGGATAGCAATCAAATTACTCAAAGCTTGAAACAGAAGAGAGAGGTGGTGTTCCACAGGGCAACTGAATGACCTGGAATTGGCAGTGAGCCACATCAGTCAAATCAAAACAGCTTTCTGTCAGAACAACTCTAAAGTATGCTTAGTCTAAATGTCACAGTACAATTAAAAAAGAATGGTAGGACTTTGAGAGCACCTGCCTTTCCTTCCAAGACATTAGAGTTCTCCAATTTGAAAAATCCTTCCAGGCTTCAGAGGTGTAGGTGAAGAACTATGGTGAGGAACTGTGGCAGTCTCTGATTTTATCTGGTTCCATAGACAACGCTTTTTCTCTTGGCTCTTGTTTAACTTGGCTCACACAGGTAATACCCTTCGTATTTTCTTCAGCTTAAAAACAAAACAGAAATCAAACATTGAAGTTCAAACTCCACTGACAATGCTTCAGCCCCAATAACTGTATGCATTTAAAAGAAAAACATTTCAGGAACTCAAGCTAATAGGTAAGGCATACATGAAGTTAACTGCTGTTTAGCTCGACAGCCAGTTACATCACCTACTGTGCTCTAAGACATTGTCGACATGAATTTACTACAGTAAGGCCCCCCTTGAGTAACAACAGTTAAAACATCTTCTTAAAAAATGTTTGGAGATATAAAATCACTTTCACACAAAATGTCTTTTCTCTTTCCCATGGAAAAAAACAAAGCTACCATCTTAATTTTTGGGGTTTGCTGTGAGGTTCTTTTCCGCAGAGAAATGGAGGTGCTATTGCTGAAAAAATTAACTCTAAAGTATGTTGATTTAGAGAATGACCTACACTTCAGGCACAACTGGCCATTTCTCAATGGCTGCACACTCATTTTAGCAGGAAATAGCCTACTCTTAAGCTAGCACTTAGAAATGAGAAAATCCAGAACACAGAGGATAATTTTAACCAAGTCCACGTGTGCATAAGTGTGTGCACACGTGGAGGAGAGAAAAAAAATCTTGAAATATACATTGACTGAAATGCTAAGTTCAAGTTTATGGTGTTTCCTCCAAATAAGGTCAGCAGCATTATTCCCCCTTCAGTCTAGACTCGTTTTTGACCTGCTCACCAAAGAATTTGTCTCTGGGGGAAAAAAAACCCAAACAAAAAACCCCCAAAAATTTCATAGGCAATTCCTCCACTGACTTAGGAAAGGCACCAATATTCTTGCAACTTTTAGATTCAAGTTGGTGAGGACAGTTTGAGACCTTAAGCAGAGAGAAAAGGAAAGTCCAAAAGAACAGTGAGTTTAATTCTTGCAGTTATATAATTTTATATTTGACTACATTTCTTTATGAGCAAAATAGTGTTTCTTTTAAAAATTAACTTACAACACTTGTCACATACAAAAATTTTTGAGATGCATCAACATCTAGACTGAGGAAATGGGCTAAACATTTGAGAACCTCTCTGAAATTCTTTTACCCTGAAAAAAAAAGAATTTCTCAGGAGACAAGTCCAATTTTAAAAGGGAAAACAACCAGTTACACAAGCCTTTGAGTACAACAGGCAGAAAATCCCTTAAATTTATCTTTGACAATACTGCCACAGTAAAATAGCCCATTATCACTTTAATACATATGAATTTCAGTATATTTCCTCGTGTACCCTTAATTTATATTAAACTCTATAATATTCTGAAAATGAAAACATAAGAATACATGAAGAACTAAAAAGGAAATAAAGTTTTGCTGACCCGCAGAAGTCATTGGTACGTATGGAGATAATTGTTGGTACGTCATTATGAAGGTTAGCTATGATCTAGCACATCTTTAGCTAGATGTTCCTGCAGAACTACTCGAGTCATCTTTCTAAAAGTCACAGATGACAAGAAAAGATAATATAGAAATAATAAAGCATTGCACAGCTAATGTTTCAGACTCTCTGGGAAGTCAAAAGACCACGTTGTGCTGATCTGTGTATGGTTCACATCTAATAGGTTTTCTTCACCCAAAATTAAAAATCAATCCATGAGAATGCAAGCTTCCATTCTCAATCAGGTTGCATGGCAGAGAATTCAAAGGCTACTGATATTTGTTAGCAGTGGTTTTAAGGAGCCTTCAATTTTGATAGAAAGTCATTTACAGCATTTATTGCGTATTTTTTAAAACTGTTTTCAAAGAGTAGTTTGAAATTCCAAGCAATTACGTACAACTCCATCTGACCATTTCTAAAGCACATTGATGACCACAGAATTTTAGTAAAACATTATTAAAAATTTTCAGAAATCTGCTGGGATGGTGTAAACAAAGAAGTCATCAAAATCCCCATATTTCCTTCCACAGAGTTCCAACTAGATTCAGTATTGGTTATTTCCTATTTTTATTTTTCCCCCAAAAAATATTTTGAAGATCATAATTATAGCTAAATATTAGGATTTTTGGCAAAAACATTGTGTTTAACAAATAAGCTGGTATTTCGTCAAAGAAACTGACAAGTGTCTTTTTGCAGCAAAAGATAAGTTTGGGGCTGCTTTTTTTGTGGTTTTTGTTTGTTTCTTTCTTTTTAATATAGTAAAAACTAATTAGAATCAGCTGAAAGAAGTCTATGCTGGAGTTCCCCATTATCAACACATTTCTCTCCTTTCAAGCCACACAGAACAAAATCCACTTTATTTTCTATACTTGCATTTTACAGAGAAAACTGCAACTTACTAAGTGCTGGCTGGTTGTCCACAATCTGAACTGGAATAGTCTGTACATCTCCCAAGAGAATCTGATGAACTCCTTGCAGGCTTCTGGAGTCATTTACACCTCCAGCTGGTACCAACTGGCCCATGGCAGCCAGACTTTGATCAGAGCCAGGTGGAGTCCCAAAAGCAGAGGCAGCAGCACCGTGCTGTGTTAGGCCAGCACCTGCTTGCAGGTTATGTCCCTGATTAAGTGTTAGAGAATGGCTGGTTATTGCACTCCCTGGGGAATCCAGGAGACTTGCAGGGCTGGGAGGGGAATGGTTATTTACAGCTATCAGGGCTGCTGATCCATTTGTGGAGGTAAATGCTGACTGCAGCTGTAATCCCTGTGAAAGAGAAGGCAGAAGTACTAACATATATTTTTATTTATAGCAGAAGGAGTTTGCATTTAACAGCACATATTTTGCAGTGCTGGAAGTGGATAGCTTCCAACTTCCTACACACAATCTCTTTTGAATAGTCAATCCCAGCAACCCTAGGCTCAAAATGTATTTGAAAACAATTGGGATAATGGTATCTAACAGCATCTAGAAGACTGCTTATGACCACAAAGCTCTAATTTTGGATTGATACTCAGTTTTGAACCATTCCCCAATACTGCCCATTCCAACAGGACGTGGATAATCTATGCTAAGCATACTGCTTTAAAAAAAACAGTGTGAGGTGGAGCCAGGCTGTCTTCAGAAAGAGAGGGAAACACCAAGTAGAACAGCATCTTAGTGCAGACTGTATTTCTAGGGAAAATATTGTGCATTTCATTGGGGCTCAGGAAGTATGAAAGTAGCTTTTCAAAGCAGTTAGGGAAGAAAGCTAAGAGAGCCAGCTTGGAAGGGAAATGAGCTTCAGAAGAAGCTCTTTTAGCATGACATTCTTATCTCTACCCTTTAGCCTTTCAACCTGGAAGTTTACAGATCTGAGCTAGGAGCAGTTTTAGGACTTCAATATATTTTCTTAAGAGGTTGAAGGAGGATTTAAATGGAATAAATAAGACTGACCTATCTCCCCTCAGTTTTGCAGCATTTTCATTATGAAATGACTGGACCATATGGAATATGAATAGGCACTGGGTTTGAAGCAGAAACCCACTACCTTCATCTTCTTGGTTTTGCCTTCACAAGAGACCCTAACTTCAAAGTGTTGGCAGCTGGTAGTGGGATCCCCTGCACCACAGCTACACGTGACATGCCCGAGTTCACAGCCCTGAGTTACCTAGACAGTGTTTGGGATTAGCTGAGAGGGAACCTGCTGTTCTCAGCCTACCCTCAGCACTTCCAGCACAGCGTTCTGTAAACAACTTGACTGTACCTGAAGTTGTGCAAATATCTTGGGCTGAAGTGAAGAGAGTGAAGACAACAGCTGGGCTGTTTCTGGTGGCAAGGACTCCCCACTCTGGTTAGATTCTGCTTTGGTGATGACTGACTCCCCTCCTGAGCTCCCTACGTGCCAGAGAGGAAGCAGACAGTTAGGCCAAATTTCTTCTTCCCATTTAATAAAAGCTTCTCTTGCAAACCAAACAAACCCCTTCAATCTCAATATAGATACACAGAAGGCATATATATATACATAAATGCTGTTTTCTTTGCAGAACCTGGATGCTAAAGAAAAAAGATTGTGTATGAGAAAAAACCCCAATACTGTAGGAAGATTGTATGTATCTACACAGAGCAAAAACCAGAAGCACCAATAAATCTGTTCTTGAGAGCAAAGTAATTGCACCCTACACTGTGCTTTGAATTTGTAGTTATAGAACAAAGGCTGAAACATTTCTAGCAAAGCAGCAAACAAATAATTTGACAACATCTACACCTCAGTAAGGGCTCAGTAACAGATAGGTATCAAAAAAAAAGGGTTGTCTTCAAAAAAAAAAAAACTACACAGGAAATTTTCTGTCTCACCACTCCCTTCCAATCTTGTTGTTCCAATCTTAGCATAACTTCTATGTAATATCATCAAAAGTCCATTTATCTGGAGGCCTTTCAGCCTACAGATTACATCATATCCTCAAAATTCTTATTCAGTGTAAGAATGATGGACTTCATTTCCTGAAGGCTTGTAAAAACTGAGATTCATTTGTAGCAATCTCTGCAAGAAAACTTCTCATGGGATCATTTCATTTCCTATTTGAGCCACCCAGAACATTTTGGTTAAGATTTATGCAGACACAAGTAGACATTGCTCAGCCTTTTATTTAGGAGTTTCACTGTTATAACAGCAAAAGAAGAGCTTGCCCTGTGAATGCAGACTAGTCTGGTGAATGGCAAAAACTGAGAATGGTCAACTGCAAAATGCTTTCTTATCAGAAAATCATAGAAAAAGTTTCAGCAATCTGAGGGGAGATTCATTTTTCAACATACATACCGATCTGCAAACTCTTAACTCTTTATCACAACTGACCACAAGATACTCTCTATAAATCTCCTTGAACCCAACTACTTCAAATACTTAGGCTCTTTTTAATATCCATATGCAAATGTGAATGTTCATATGCAGGAAGAGATGGCAGTTCTTTCCTTAGGTTGTATTTTACAGCAACATGCCGAGGAACAAAGCTAATAGTTCAACTCCTGATATCCCTGCTACAGAGGAAGCTGTATCCCATGGAGATATGGAGTTCTGCACAAGAAGTTCCGTTATTGCCTGATTTCTTAAATGTAAAGTTGTCCCCATTTGGCACAAGTTGAAATTAAAAAAAAACCCGTATACAAAGAGTAGTCATAAAAGTCAATGTTGTTTTCCCTTGCTACCACTTCACAAACATTAATAAGAGCTCATTTTTGGAAAGCCAGGCTTCTTTTTTTCCTTAGACTTGTAATACAATTATAAACACGTGTTTGAAATATATACAAACACATACCCACACATATAAAGGAAGACAAGACATGCTGCAATTAGAGTATCTGCTTATTTTCACTGAGTTGGTGCACATGTGCATAAAACTAAACAAAACCAATTCTCTGGCCTCCTGTAAAATTCAGTATGTCACTGGATGGATGTTTACACATTTGATAGGCTACTTTGTCTTAGAGAATTATCTGTGTAAAACAAAGAAGCCAAGAATTGGTCTCTTCCTGAACCTTCTCCAGCACTCAGTTCATACCAAAAGTCATCCTGCTGAGCTCTATCACAGCTGTTGAGGGCACAACTATTCTGTGTTTCTCCATAAAAGCCCAGTAATAGCAATATTAACACAGGCATGCAAGCTTAACTGCAGTAAGTCTGCTCACATTGCAAATTTCTTTTTTCCTAAAAAACAAGACTTTCTTAAAAAAGAGGGACACTGTTCAAGCTGAGTCTAATTTAATTCTCTTGACAGGTGTTATTAGCATCTTCATCCAAGATAAAATGTTCTTTTCACACAACCATCCCACTAAAATTTTTTATTGCTTGAGGCTGCTAAATAAAAGCCCAATTCATTATTCTAGTACTTCTTCCAACAACATCATGACTACATATTTTTCCACACATGCAGTCAAATAGTTAAAAAAAGCAAATGAAAATAGTTATGACAAAATAATCCTTCTTAAGTTCAGCTGAGTGACAGAACATGGCAGCAACCTCTCTGGAATAAAACTGAACTTCTGTGACATAGCTAATAAAACACATTTGAAGACAGCTACGTTATCCAAACAGTCCTACCATCTGAAGGTGGTGAGGCAAATGTAACAGTCACTGTTTCTGTGAGGACATTCCCACTGTCTGTGGTCCATTGCAGCTGAAAGGAAAAAGATCTCAGTTCTCAGAAAGGGTACAAGCTTGTCTACTGCAGGAACACAGGCTCAATACAGGACCTGTAGGAAAACAATGTCTAAAACTACACTTCCTTATTTTCTTATAACTATGCATTTTGGGAGCTCTTGATTTGCCAAAAAAAAAAAATACTGTGAACATTACACTATATCAGGAAGGCTGAAGTCTGCTCATGACAGTTTAAAGACTTTAAAATAGAAAACAGTCAAACCATTTGGCTAACTAACAAGAACACTCACTCACCTGGGCCACAACAGTATAGGAAGAAGGAAAAGACTGATGACACAGCATGATTTAACAGAAGAGTTTGTCAAAGCTCAGTTTGTCAAATCAACAGTTTCTTAGTAGTCACTCTCATAACTGGGAAAACTAGGATCACTGTGTATCCTTTATGAGTCAATATGCGAAAGAAAATTAAGAAACATCTGAGAGTTACTGAGCATTCAGAAGTATTGACTTCAAGCTTACTTCACTTGCTATAAAGTGCATTTACTAATGTTTACACATTCAAAATGTCATGTAAGCCCTAATTTTGACTGCACCTCAGACACACCTCACCCCCATTTTTTCAGATACGGAAAAGTAGTAGTAACTTCTTCAAAACAGATGATGAAAAAGACATGAATAAAATTTTCTGCCACATGCCAATTTTTCTACACCACATGGCTTCCAGTTCATGGGCATTAAGAAGTGCTAGTATTGTATAATCTGTCAATCAAATAACAGCAATCTAATGCTGATGAGATAAATACTGAAGAAGGTCAGAAGGTTTTATTCACATTTAATCCAACCGTGCTCAGCCAGAGATTCCAGTGAAAATATTGCTGTTGGAAATATAAAGTCATAGAGAATTTTTAAAGAAATACAGCAAAATGGTACAAATTAAAAACAACACTTCTAGTATAACTCCAAAAATCAAAAAGATAACACAAAGGCTAACATACCATTGCTGGGATACTTTCTGAATTATACACCATCTCTCCATTCCTTAGGGACTTCTGTACTTCATGAATGTGGTTCTTGATGTCATTCACAGTGGGGAAGAAGGACAGATTATGTCTTTCTGGCACTTCATCAGGCGTGAATAACTCTCTTTCCACATACTTTCTGTCACATGTTAAAGGACATTCAAATATGCACATTTAAATACATTGTGCTATTTCCCTCTGTTAGAGACACCACTACCTTCTCCCTCCCCTTGTTGCAATGACAAGACAAAAGCAAGCTAGATGATCTTCTGCCAGTTCCTTGTGCATCTGCTACAGAGTTTGGAATTTAAAATCTCCATTTATTTAAGTATATTTAAAGAGTACAGCAGCTTTTGGTGGCTACCAACAACAATATAGAAAGAGAAGATAAAAGCTGGGAAAAACAGTCTCATGACATCTGGGAAATACACCCAGTGGTGCATCAGCATTTGCAACCATTTAGTTGCAAACCAAATGAATCAGATGCAAGAGTAGATACAGCACTACAGACAGAGCATTCCAGACAGTTCTGTACCTTAGTTGCTTCCTCACTGCATAGACCTGCTCTATTCCCTGAGACACCAGTTCTCGGATCTTGTCTGCCACTTGAGGATGAAGTCGAGAAGGCAGAGCACAGTTCTCATCTCTAACAACCTCCTCCTCCTCCTCAGGAGAAGACACAGGAAAATGGGAGGGTGAAGGAGGGAGGCAGGACGTTTCCATTTCATGGTATTGGTGGGCTTGCTGAGTGGGTAACTGTACATACCACCTAGCAAGAAGGAAAGATTTTAAACACACAATTCTCAAGCAAAGGCAAAAAATTTGGTGTCTTAGGGGAACAGTCTGACAACCACAAACAACCTAGTTAGAGCAATGTAAGTTTTGACACTTTCAGAACTCAGGGCCCTAATGTCTTTCGCAACTCAGGGTCCTCTCACACCTTTCAATGCAAAATAAACTAGCTCAAACCCTCCAGTACTACAACTATTTCTATCTGCATGAAAACACCTGCTGAAGTTCCACCACTTGGTGCTTAACGCATTTACCAAATGAATACTTCAGAGCCACAGGAGTCTTACTGACATTGTGGGATTTTTTTTACTGTTGATATTAATCAAAAGCCTTAATAAGTGACTCAGTAAAAAATAAAGCAAACCTAGCAAAACATTGCTCTTTTTTGCTTCATTTGTGAAAATAAAGAAAGAAGTGGAAGTTTCACCTGAGGATACCGCCAGCATCTATCAAGTTCTTCTTCAGAATGTTGAATGCTTTCTCCTGCTCCATTCTTATGATTTTCTTGTCAATTTTAGGATCAGTAGGAACCCTGTATTCTGGAAACTTCTGAACCTTTTTAATATAGATTCTGCCAAGGGGGAAGGCAGGGGGAATAAAAAAAAATTCTCCATCAGTATACTTTGTCCTTGGGAGGGGAAAGGCAAAATCCCCATCTTCATATCAGACACTAGAATAGACGTTTGAGCACAGTGATGCAGGGAGGAAGGAGCCTCTAAAATAACTGTAGAATTCTTAAAGACACTTCAGTAGAGATGGATGCATACAGACACACTTCTGTTCTGGTCTGGCAGCTGCTCAGTCAGAGTGATTTTGCTCCTCAGAAAAACCCCTCTGTCCCTCAGCATAGCAAAAGCACACACCATTTGTGAACAGACTGCAGTTCACCCAGCTGTGCAAAATTGAGCACATGCTTACTTAGCTACAAGTGTTGAAGTAAACACACTCTTAAATCAGTAAAAACTGAACGAGCATCCAGGAGGGTGCTCAAGGATGAGGAAAAAAACCATTAGTGCTGGATAAGGAGAAACTCCTCAGTGAACAGGAAGAACTGTAACGTCTTCAGCACACAGGACTTGTGCTAAACTAGGCTGATTGACTGATATCAATGCAATTAAAAGCCTGAAGAAAAAACAATAAATAATATGACAAAGTTTTATGACCCGAAATGGTCACTAAAGAACATCACAGTAACTCACTAATGCTCAGGTAGATAATGATTCTGAAGATATGAAATGATGATATGATTCTAAGATATGAAATACTTCTATTTCATATAGTGATGTGTTGCTACTTTGCATCCAGGCAATCTATCAGATCTCAGCCTTATTGAGTCAAACAGGACAACATTTCCTCCTTACCTCTAAATGAGTATCAACCTCAAGTTCCCAAGGAGATGAAACAAGAGCTACAGCAGCTACCACCCCAAAAGAGTGCTCTGTCCCAACTCACAGAAAGAACACTTTCTTAGGATGCTGAGTCACTCTTACAGCTTTATAGATAATTCATACCTGGCTGGACAAGTGGCTTTGTACAGATGGCCAGAGGTGCTTTCCTGCTCACCAGCTTTTTTGGGCTGGAAACCTTTCCTCCTTGGCCCATATTGACACTCCATTACAATGGCTCTGCTTCCTGGAAACAGAAAGCAATTCACTCTATATTTATTCAAGCAATAACTGAATTTTTAACAGTAAAACAGTAACTACAGAAGAGATGAGAGTTCTGAAACAGAACGTTTCTGTTTGCCATTGGACTGTTCAGAAGACAGAACGCTTAGGTGTAGCAAGCAAATACAGTGCAAATGCTTCTCTCACAGCATGCAAGAACACAGAGCATTTACTATGCATTTCTCAAACCTGTTACACCTCATAACACTCCTGCAACATATGTGAAGGCAAAATATGAGATTCTGCCCTGGTGAACACCAGTACTTTATAAGATGAGAAATTACCAAAGGAGCACAATGCTGGTGATAAACACAAAAGAAGCAGAATCCCCAAAATAACAGAGAAAATTCACAGCTGAAATCAAACGTGTGCTGGTTTCGGCTGGGACTGAGTTTTAACTTTCTTCACAATAGCCAGTATGAGGCTGTGTTTTGGATTTGCACTGAAAACAGTGCTGATAACACGGGGATGTTTAGTTACTGCTGAGCAGGGCTTACACTGAGTCAAGGTCTTTGCTGCCTCTCACTGCACCCCACAGGCAAGGAGGCTGAGGGGCACAAGAAACTGGGAGGGGACACAGCCAGGACAGCTGTCTCAAACTGACCAAAGTCATGGAATATGATATGGAATATACCATATGGCCTCATGTTCAGCGTACAGAGCTGGGGGAAGAAGGAGGAAGAGGCGGGCATTCAAAGGTATAGTATTTGTCTTTCCAAGTCAGCATTAGAGGTGACAGAGCCCGGCTTTCCTAGGGATGGCTGAACACACGCCTGATGATGGGAAGTTGTGAGTGAATTCCTTACTTTGCTTTGCTTGTGTGCCCAGCTTTTCCTTAACCTTCTAAACTGCCTTTATCTCAGCCCACGAGTTTTCTCACTTCTACCCTTCCGATCCTCTCCCCCATTCCACCAGGAGGAAAGAACGAGTGGCTCTGTGGTTGTTTCCAGCTGGGGTTAAACCACGGCAGCAGGTCAGCAGCCATTTCCAGCCCCCTGGCTTAAATCAACACTTCAGACCAGTCTGTCCCATAAATTCTTAACTGCAAGTCAGAGCTATCTTAACTGCCAAATAACAGAGTTTCAGAGCAGCATACCCACACAAAACCAGACAGGCCTAAACAAATGCTGCTTTGCTCTAAACCTGAAGTAAGTGACTTCTTCCAATCAGACCTCTAAAAAAAGAGCTGACAAGCAAAACATTAATGCTGTCAAGAAGGGAACGTTTTCCAAATTTCTTCCACGTCATGTTTAGTTATCTTTTATTTGTCAGGCAAGCAGCTGCCTATACCACAAGTGACATAACCAAAACCTTTTTAAGTATTACAACAGGAACATAATCTGCTTCCATAAGATATCAAATGATTTATTGCTTCAGGGCAGTAAATGACATTAAAAAAATAATTAAAAAAAATCTAATTATGTATAACAAATATATCTTGTCTCGTTTTTAACAAACAAACATTAACAAACATTTTAACATACAAACTTAAAATGTAAATTTCAGGATTGAAAAGACTGCAACAGCTTTAAACTAGTCTTTGCTAAACTGAATCTCAAAACCAGTTTGATAGGGACCTTGTTTAACAAAAGCTTCAACCATCCAAAATTCTCACTAAAAATAACAATCAAGATTTTGATGACTTTGTTTTCTTTTACCTCACAGTTTATGGCTGAAGCTTTAAAACTGGTGCTAATACTTCACTTTTTCAGTAACTTTCAGGGGAAAAAAAAGAAAAAGAAAAGAAAAAACCCAAGCACATAACCTACATTCCTGCCAATCATTTTCTCTATGTAACAATTAAACCCCATTCATTTAATATCCAAATTAACTCTTAGTAACACATAACATTTATGAGCTAAATATGTAATTACCAACCTATGAAGTATTCATGTTCATTTAAAAAAAAACAAACAAAAATCTGTCTGCTGAGGTATGTTGATGTTTATCTTGTGTGGTTGCTTTTTAAAATTTATTTATTTTTTTTAAAGGTTGCAACTTAAATAGTTTCTTGACTCCTGAGGAACAAACTCTTCAAAAGATCTTCAAGTTAGGCAAGAATAAGCGAACAAGCTCTTATCCTTATGAGCACTTTCATGTCCTAATAGAGCAGATGGAACCTCCCCCTTAAAGATTTCATCACATGAACCCCCATCAAACAGTACTTAACTAATTCCTAAAGGACAAAAGGAAATAATCACAACAAAACATAAAAAAACCTCAAAAAAACGTTTCCTCTTGTTTCAGAAAACAAGCTCCTTCAGACTGTGTCACAGAAATGCCCAAACTGCTCCTTTTTTATGTTTATGCCTTGACTTTACCAACACTAAGGAACAACATAAAGACTCCTCTTTATGGCCAGCTGGAAGCTAATGTTGAAATTTTGAAAGCAGTTATTAAAATAAAAGTTAGTTACCTGCATTGACAAAGGGGATCCCATCATATGGGACATACTGAGATTTCCACATCAACCGTGTGGCGGGTTTGGCTGGGCTTGGAGACTGGCGTGTCCCCCACACACTTTGTGTTTGCTGCTTGTGTAGCGTTAGAACACTCTCTAATTCTGTCTCACTCACACAATAGCCGCGGTACGAGTCCCCAATTTTCTGCATGGAAAGGAGGTGAAATAATAGGATTATTCCCCAGCTGACTGCTGAACATTACACAAGAAAACAAAAGCAGTCAGGGACTCTGGCAGGTGAGAACATAGGCCCAGATTTTTGGCGTTTCATGTTTTCTGTCCCCACATTAGTACCTCACAGAGATTTAACGTAGGATCTAACGCCAGAGCGGTCTCCACTGAGGTCAGGAGCTTGTCAGCCACTCAAGACCCTAAGAACACCAAGAACCCCTGACACAGTTACAGTTACTGCCAACTCTGATTTCCATAGGACAACTTCACTCCTGTGGTTTCCCCCCAGTACACACTTTGGGTACAGTCACCACCTACACAAATTTGCCTTAGATGAAGTTTTTCACTTGACTGCCACAGAGAATCTCTGAACCACTAATAATTGTCTATGCATGTACTGCAACACACACATGCTCCACTGCACTGGAGCAGAATACACCCACATACCACCAGTAACTGTCTCACCCACTTAGTGCACTAACTTTGAATGGAATGTCCCACATAATATCTCTCCCAGCCTTCAATGCACTCTTGATTCTCAACATTACACAGAAACATACTATACCAGATCTGCCATGTGCAAACTGATGATGGTTGCAATGAACTCTGCTACAATCTTGGCAACTCCACAAAAACTGCATCTAACTAGACTCCAAGTAGTTATCCAGCTACTCAGTGCCATCACAGCTGGTTCAGTGCTGGTCTACCAGGGCCAGCCAGCTATCAGCAAAACTACTGGGACAGAGAACTTTCCACCCAAATTCAGAATGCCATGCTTCCTTCTGTTCATAAGCAGTTCAGGGACAGGTTGGGCAACCGGCTGTAAGTAACACCCAGAGTAGTTTGCCAGCTCAGTCTGTGGGACAAACACACTCCGAATGAGTACCAAAGTCTGATGGAACTCTTTTGCCACCTTCAGTGACAGAGCAGACAGATGTTTAAGTAATACTGACAAAAAAAGCAGCAATGGTGTCTCTTCAAAATTGTTATTGCACAGATACTTCAGTGACACCTGCCTAAAATCTGCCTCATAGTCATCTAAGAAAACCAAAATGTCTGTGCAAAACCTAAATCAACCAAGAACCAACAAAGATCTTGTGAATGAACTGGGCCAGCACAGTGTTGCTGTGAGTGCAAGGCCAGACACTGAGGGCTGTGTGTCCACTGCATGGGAGTCACTCTGAGCCACGAGGTGCTGACACTTCAGCACCGCCTGCTCTGCCAGCACACTGCTCCAGCAGTTAAAGTCTGCACAGGTTGCACCCACACAGCTGTGCAGAGCTAGAGAGGTTGGCAATCGTTTACTAAGAAGTTATAAATAACATTTCTGTCCAAAACTTGGTCTGAAAAATCCAGGAGAAGCAAAGCAGTCTGAGAAGTACCAGAACTACCTTCCTTATAGAAACCTGGGATGCTGCCTTTCACAGTAGGGATTACAGCACCACTCCACACAATAAAGACTGCACAATCAGGTTTTTTTTAATGTTATCTTACACTTGTCACTATAAATAGGACATTGACCTTATTCTAAGGAGATGAGAAGACTGATAAAACTGTTGTGCCAGAAAAGTAGCAATAACAGTTAAGGTACTGTCTCCTATTCTGGCTTTACTTTTGCACAAGTTAGATCATTTCCTTAAATTGGTGGCGGGGAGGAGGAGGACAAGAAGAAAATCATAAGCACATAAGATCCCTGCTCTCTATGAGCTTTGCAAGTAGGGAAAAAAATCGACAAATGAGACCATCTGCTTCAGATAAATAAATTAACTTAGCTTTGTAGAGTTAATTAATGCAGTTTATAATTACACTTTATTTCAGTATGCTGATACATGCTGGAAATGCATTCTGATCACACCATTGAAAACTAAGTAGGTTATTGAAAAGAGCTGGTTTTAAATTCACTTTTTATTAACAAAGTAATTACCTGGAAGTAATCAGATACTCTTCAACCCTTTCACTCTGAGGTTCAAGCCAAAAAAAGGAGCAATTCCTTTTCTCTCCTCTGGCCTCATCTCAGCAAAGGTACATAAAAGCTTACACTAAAGTACATAGACCAAAACTGCAGTTTCCTTGGGTGAACTAACAGCAGCAGGGTACCAGAGGCATTATGCTGTCTAGACACAGCTGAACATTTCAAGGCAGTCAGGGAATCAACATCAAACACAAAGCTTAGTGTTAATTTGGATAACTGTAGCTTTTACTCTCTGTGTTTACCTGCAGTACTAACTACCAAAGGAGTCACTGCCCTTTAGGGTGCAGTGGCTTCACCTGCTGACATCTTCTGTGAAAGTCACACAGACCTCAGCACTGTTTGTCTCTATTCTGGCAAGCAACTGCAATAGTGGAACTGTGAGTTGACAGATTTACCAGCACCCCTCCAAGTTTCAGTAGGACCCTGCAATTCTGTCACTAGTAACAGAATAATATGTAAGACAGTCACACCTGAAAGATAAATGACACCCCAAAATCCCATTGTCTCTAGTCTGTGCCCATGAAAAGGTACATACATCCTAGCAGTCTCCAGTGGATCAGGGAGGATTAGTGCATACAGGCAACAGTTCTGCTGAACAGCAGAAGCAGACGTTTATGTCCTCAGAACACTTCAAACAGATAATATTTCTATTTCCTGTTCTATAAAAATAAGATCTCTCCTATAAATGCTGCTGTGAATTTTAAATAGAGCAGGTGAAATTTCTTGTAATAGATAGACAAAGTAGATCATAATACAAGTCCTACTATAAAATGAAAACAATAATAAATGATTCAGATAAGCCATATGGATGTTAAGATAAGAAAGTATGTGCCACATAGTGCTAAAAACACAGTTTAGTGAACTTTGCCAACTAACTGGCCAACTGAATTAAGAGACTGATTCTATGAAAATAGTGTCTCCACCATGGAAGAATTCCTGCTAATAAGTTTCTGACCTCTTAACATTTAAGTGGCTATAAGAGTGGACAGTACCACTTGTATGAAATACATGGCATATAAAAAGAGGAAGAGATTAATATATTTAAAAATTATTTCTAAGTGGATACTTAGAAAGAAACTCAATTTCTAAGTCCCTGCAATGGTAATTTCCAGTTATCAGTGGCCAAGTTGATAGGACAAAACTCAAGTGGTAGAGATATCTAAAGAGATGAAGAACTTAGAGAGTATAAGATTTCCTATCAAAAAGTATTAAGGGAAAATGAAATAAACATCTATCAGGAAGAGTCTGGTAGCAGGAGGAAGGGGTAGTTGAACTCTCAAGAGTCTTCCCTTCTCTCCTCCCTTCCTTTTAAGTGACTTAGGATACATTCTAGCTGTTGATAGGATCCAGTCATCAGGACAGTTCTGCAGACACCTAACAATATGCAAATAAAGGAAAAGTTCTGTTTAGGTCAAAAGCCATCACAGGGAATAAAGATAGAGCACTTAACAAAAGAGAAAATAAGCACAGGTAACCTAACCTGCTGGGACAAAAAAGAAAAAAAAGACATAGAATATATAAAACAGAAATCCTTAATAAAATATTGACATTAAGGTGCTTTAAGTCTCAGACTTGACACTGGCCAGTCACATGGAGTTTCATTTCTGTGTGGTAACACAAACTAGCATGAATAATTGCAGAGGTCAGCAAAGTTTGCCCTGTAGTTCAAAAGCAAGTCCTTACATGGTGCACAATGATTCTTCCCAGCACTGTAAGGCATCAGGTTTTCAGCAGCACATTTTTTGCTTCAGAAGCTGTTGCTGGTCAGTTATTCTAACATTCTCAAAATAGAAAAGGATTCCACAGCATTTTATGTGTTTAACTGTGTTAGCAGTACCACTACTATATACCAGGAAGCTTGAACACAACTTCTACAATTATGAATTATTCCTTTCATGGAATAGGATCACTGTCTTAGATCTAGATAATAAAACACCAAGTCAGAATTCTTTGTGTCCCACCTCACAGTTCCTGAGACAGCGTGCCCATGCAGGAGTATTTAGTGGCAAAGGTTGGTGGGGGATATGAAAAGGATCTTCCACTACCCTGAAAAAGAAAAAAAAATATAATAGAAGTCTTTATAGACATTCAGGAAAGCAACAATTTAGTCTGAACTACAGGTAACATCAAATCAGTGCATTATGTATAACCCTAGAGCATATGATCCAACCATGCATATTGTATCAACATGCCTTAAAAACCTGGGCTTCCTTTTCTTCATATTCTATTTCATTGTTAAAATAATTTACAATAAATGTAAGTATTTAAAAAACCCACTGTTTTCTACATTCAAGACTTCCAACCATTCAGTATTCTTAGTGTTGTTGCTTGACAACAATAGACAAAACCCGGTGAAATAAACCAGCTGATTGTCTGGATAATTTTCTTATGCAGACTGATGGTAAAATGCTAAAGACTAAAACCAATATCAAACACTGCACATTTTAATATATTTTATAAATTACTGAAAAACAACTCCAATAACTATTTTAAGTACACACCTAGTTTCTCCATTCCTTAAATCCTGGGCCAGAAACAATGCTTACTCAATGTTTATTATTCCAAAACAGGTGCATCACCTCCTGTCTATAAAAATATGCCTCCTTTCCAGGATTATTTTTCTGGCATGTACAGACTGTGTTCTCAACATCCATTCACAAACTGTTTCTCTTCATTTTACATGTTTCTTGAACACATATAATTTGTGTTGGAGTGAGATGACTCTGATCTTTTCCACATCTCAATTTCTGAAGAGCATAAACCAGCACAAAGCCAGCCTACGGTCCACAGAGCAAACACCTTCTTTGGGAGTTTTTCTGTTGTCATAATTTGTTTGTCTGTTTGTTTTGTTTATTTGTTTGTGGTTTTTGTTTTGTTTTTGGTTTGGTTTGGGTTTTTTCTGGTTTGGTTGTTTTTTTGGGTTTTTTTTCTGCTGTTGCTCTATTTGGTTGGTTTGAGGCTTTGAGGGTTTTTTAAAGCAAAAAAGAATTCCAGAGTATTCAGGAATTAAAATAGTAGGCAACATTTAGCATGGGGAGAGAATCAGGTGGATATCAAGTTAAAAAACCCTAACAACTAATTAACTTCAGAAGCTTTGTTAATCAATGTGCCTGTCTAAGTGTTTCACCAAAATACACTGTTACCAGCTACTTTCTCATATTTTACCAAAGGAAACCAAAGAAGTTATCCAGAGAACAAACACCGGGCTTTCAACAGTTAATGCCAACTACTGAAACCTCTATCTAAAAAATTAATCTCTACAATCAACTGTTCTTGAGGGAGGATGGTTTATATAGGTTTTAGTACACTCCTACAAGAAACTTTGCTCCCTCAAACATCAACTTTCCCTGCAGTTCCCTCACTGGATCACATTCAACTCTTGGTTGGCAGTAACAGTGTTTATTGAAAGTAATTTCAGTAATTTGCACTGTGTTACTTTAAATGCCCACCAGTACTCCAGTCAGAACATATCCAATTATGTCTGGAATACAGGGAATAGAATACAGGTACTTTAATTGCTTTTTCCACTGCTCTGGTACATCCAAAAGCTGCCTGAAAACCCAGTTAGTTATACATCATTCACTAACACTAAGGGTTCGTAACCTCCACTCCATGGTAATTTTGTGATAACCATTGCAAAATCAAAACTGCAAGAAAAAAAACCAGTGCTAACAGTGAATCGAAGTGATTGTTCATCCTTTTCACTCCCAACCTACCTGGTGGTTGGTTTTTTTGATACAGTGAGAGATGCCTGTGGGTGTAGAATGTAACTGCTTGCACTGTCTGCTATAGCAGCCACCACCACAGTCTGCAGGTTCCCATCACCACAGTTCTCTTCCGAAGCATCTTTACAAAAATAAAACAGTCTTCTGGTTAATAACTGAACAAAGAATGGGGAAACAAGCAGCTACGACTAAACCTCATGTTTGGAAAACCAAGCCTTTTGACATATGAAAGAAGTTTTATAGATGACAAAGTAGTTGAATAGTTGTGAATCAGTACTCTAACTCCAGGCACACATATGCAGATACACTTGATAAGGTTGCTTCTATTCAAGGACTTTGGTAATCACACTACTGCTAATTAATCCTTCCACAGCAAAGCAAATAATCAGAACAACTTGTAAATTACTCTGCTTTACATTTCCACGAATCCATACAGGATTGCACTATTTTGCTCAGCTGCAAATCACACACTGGCTGCTTTTAAAATAAGAAAAAATGAGGCAATGATACTGTTTTGTACTTAGTAAAGAACACTTAAACATAAAAAACAGGCCTCTTATAATTGAATCTGACGTGCTGTTAGAGCAAATGTTTTAGCCTTTCTTGGTAATAAGGAGGAATCCATAAGCCAAAAATTACTGTTAGACTGAAGCCTGTGTGTACAGTTAAACAAAAACATAATGGAAAACTGCAAAAGTAGACAGTCGATATTTTGGTCTCAACAAAAAAACACAAAGTCTCTTTAGATGAAGGATTTTTGCCCTTCAGTTATGAAAGCCTCTTTCCCCCATCCTGAGAGACAGTGATAAGCTACTGACAGAGTACAGAAATCACTCCACTAGAAAGCTCTATGAGAAGATTAGTACGTGTGCACTCAGATTACCACCACTCTGGTTCAAAGCACTGGTTCCTCCTACACAGACATCCCCTCAAGACACTACAGCTACACTGAACCCTGCACCATTTCCTGCATTACCACCATGTGCAGACAAGAGAAACTCAAGGGCTGACAGGCCATTCTCCTTGCCCTTTAATCTTCATAGTAAACCACTGACAAGTCTTCCTAACTGTCTGCTAAAGATCAAATAACTACAAAGTCTTTTATACAGTAAGTCTCTAGGAAAAACAAAACAAAACAAAAACATCCCACCAAAAACCCCTCTACCACTATTGTAGAACACGTATTCACACACTATGACACAGAGTCCCATGTAGGATGAACAATGGCAACACAAAGATACTATTCAGCATTGCAACATAGTGCTTACAAACAGTAGCAACAATTGTTTCAGCACTAAAGGCTCACAGTCAGCTTTATAAGTAATATAAGACTGTGCTGTAACCAAACAGTGGTCTTATCCCTGCAGGAGCAGGAAAGGGAGGGAAGGTTGAGCATTAGGACAGGAACAAGCCTTTCAATGCAAGGTCATGGAACTACACTCCAACTGTAAGTGAAAAGGGCTGGATCATGACTTGAATCCCAAATCTTCTATCCACCCAGCATCAGGACTCTAGTCCTACCTTTGAGCTATCATTCCACAGGAGCACTTAACTACTGCTCGGATTTTGAGAATTTCATGGAGAGAAAGAAAAAAGTTTAAAAAAACCTTTGAGAGTTTAACAAAATGTGACCACCTAGTTCTCAGTCTTTGCATTCTCATCTCTGTGAATGCAAACTAGTACACAGCATTTTGCCATCCATCAAGGCTTGCAGATAATCAATACTTTCAGATCTTAGTATGTCCATTTTCTAGAGAAAACCTTAAAATTAGCACTTCCAGTTGTACATCTCCCCTCATACTTAAAATGTGACAATTATCATATTGCAACAAAGTGAAAGTTACATCTCATTTTCCTTCACTGGGAACTGAATTTCTACCAGGCAATTCACTCCCGGCTTCACAAAAAATGCATCATCACCAGTGATTTCTGGAACAGAAGAATTAATGTCATCCTGGTCTTTCTGCACTACACAAATTAACTACTTCACTCAAAATGAAGTAAACGGACAGTGAGAATTTGAAGCTGATAGTACAGCTGTCTGACAGCATAAACATCCTTATCAATGCTAAATAAGGCAAGAAACAACTCTGCTTGATATCTCAATCTACCCATCATATATCCTTCAGAAAGGGGACATAATAGCTCTTCTTTCGTAAGGTTTTTGCCCAATAGAAAATGTGGCGTGTGGCGTGCCAGATTCATAATCAGAAAGCAGATTCAGGATGTATTTTGTCTCACAGCTGACTAAGGAAAGGAAACACACACAAAGAAGGTGCTCAAAAAGAGATCAGGCAGGATGCACTCAGGAATTCACACCCTCAAGTCCCACAGGTTACACTCACCCTGTGTGCTGGTCACATCCAGAAGCCGACCTTGAGGAATAATCACTTGGGTCACTCCTGGCTGAGCAGAAGGAATGACATGCAGCACCTGTCCATCTTCTGACTGGCTGGCAACAATCATCTGTAAGGCAATCACACAAAAGCAGGAATAGCACTTGTTTGTATGGAGATCATGCAGCATGACTGGGTTTGGTTATCACCAGTACAAGAAACATTTTGGTTGGAATTAGGGCCTATAAATTAACTCCGTTTCACATGATAAGAAAACTGCCTATTTACTGTCAATTTCTTAAAATTACTTTCCCCTTTTTAAAATAACTCTTTAACTGAATTAAGGAAAGGAAAAAACCCAGCACCTTACATGATTCTACAATGAATTACACATTTATTTGAAATTTATAATACTATGAAAAACCTGAAAGGCATTCATAGTTGGATTCACTGTAAGCCCTTTCACAGACTAGCAAAATTAATCATAATATGTAAAAATTTTGACCTTTACTTCTGAGAAACTGACCTCTCTGGGCAGTATTTCATGCAAAAGCAGATAGAAGAAAAGTTCCAGGACTTGCAAAAATGCAAATTAAATTACCTAGAATTTTGAAAAATGTAACTCCTTATGATGTTAATTATAAAGGATTTGTTCCCAACAATGTTACAAAACCTAGAGTAACATAAAAGATCATCTTGTTTCTGATTAATTACACTTTAAATGGGTGAAGTGTCTTTAGTGACAGCACAATACATGCCAACCAAGGCCTCTAGGTAAGAGTTACCTTTTTACAAAACAGCTGTTAAAATTACAAAGCAATGTTTTAAGCAAATTAATTGCGGGGTGAGGGTGAATGTGAAATATAATGGGTTAGCTTATTGCTAATGTTCCAATCCCTCCAGAAAAAACAGAGACTTATCCAGGGAATATAGAGAATGCAGCAGCAGTAGAAGCATGAGATCTCATACACAACAGCATCCAGGCTTGATAATGGCAAAAGACATTAAGTTGTTGTTTATTATTAGTAACGGCTGAAGACCATGAAGGATTTGCCTACCTGAGGGGGGGAAACTGAAGCATGAACTGAACCACTGAAAAGTTTCACCTTGTTGCTAAAGTCTGAATCAGCTGTTGCTACAACAAACAAGCAGCATGTAAGAGAGTTCTTCAAAGGGCTCCCTCGTCTGTGAACACACCACCAGCCCCGTTTTCAGACACACTCACCATGGGTGCACTGGGCCCTCCTGGGGGCTGCAGCTCACAGAGAGGCTGCCTGGTTTGGTCTGCCAGCTGGAACTCCTCTGCAGAGGGAGCCCGTGGCTGGGGTGGCCGTGCCGGCACAGCTGAGGCTGCAGAACTGCCTAAGAGGTGGACTGTGATGGGCAAGGCAGCAGGAGAGTCACTCTGGCCAAACAGTGGATCCCTGGAATCCATGCACGTTAGATGCTTTCACAGAGGAAAAACAGTAAAATGTACTTTGAGTAGCAACTTCTATTAGGAAACAAAAAAAAAAAAAAAAGAAAGGGAAAAGAACATTTAAAACCAGTGTGCTGTGTTGTATACTTGGAGGGAGCTTTTGTCCTTCTGATCAAGAGGCTAATACTAGCAGTTCTACTTCTGATTTCCATTTCCAAGCTGAAAAAGTATTCATATTCCTGCTTCCCAGAACAAACCCTCTCTTGCTAAGGGCAGAAATCTGCTTGAAATCTGCTCCCCAAAACCACTTATCACTTTAAAATACCTCAAATCTACCCAGAAACTGAGAGAACTTGCACCAAAAATGAAATTGTAAAACATTCACCAACTTGATTTAACTCGAAAAGAAATACTAGATACTATTCTACTTTGGCCTTTAGATACATGCATTTAGCTATGAAGACAAAAATCTCTATACATTTTTGTAATTCTTTACCTCAGAAGAAGCACAATCAATACAATCTCCAGTTCAAGTCCAAGAGTTGTACAGCACAAGGCCAAGAATCAGATTTTCAAATTCTCAAAAAAATAAAGATTATTCTTATCGAGTTTGCAGAATGAAAGTCTTACAATACGTCCCATTTTTTTAAAATTTAAGTGCATGGGCTCAGATATCTGCCTTGTTGAAACTCTAACAACATAAACATTAAGTATATAAAAATAATGGAAAACAGGCAGCCCTTATGTACCACAACACGTCAGGTTGTCATTTGGCCAAAGCAAGAAGGGCTGCAATTTGTTATATCTCTTGCAGTAATTGCACAAAGAACTCTGACGTTCCCACTACAAATATTTACACACTACAAATCAAAGAACGGAGAAAAATGTTTCTAAATTTTATATAAAAGTCACATTTGTGCTAAATAATCCTGTCAAAAAATCTGCAGGTATAAATCTCCTGTGCTGAAACTGTAAAATACACCAGAAAAGCAGCAACAAATACATGACACTACTTGCATTAAAGACATTGTGCAGAGATCATAAGCACACTACTAAATCACTACCTGAAGGATATTTTATGTTAAAAGAATATTCTGCAGAAGAACATTCACACACAGAAATCTCCTTGAACAGGAATATTTGGCAATATTTGATAATACATAGCTAAATAAAAGATTCCCCTTCTCCAGTACCTACACAGATGTCCTGTGTCCCTGGACTCTTATTTGACACATCTGGTCACTAAGCAACTTGACCGGATTTTCAAGTGTTCTGAACCTCTCCTACTCCAAGACATGTCATCAAGTATTCTTTTTTTGAAGGATTTTGTTAACACAACAAACACATCTTTCTTCAGCACTTTAACAGGATCTATTAATACAATTACTGATGGTTGCCATTACATGCAACATCTGGATATTCATCAGTTCAAAACTGAATGGCACAAGAATCAAAGGGAAGGAACTTTTGTACTTTTTTAAAACACAAAATGTATTACTATAAAGGCACAAAACCCCCAGTGCACTGATGAAATAGAACACTTTAAGTTCATCAGAGAGGATGTAACGGAAGCATCTACAAGGACAAAGCATTTGTACCTCACCTGGAAAACCTGATCATTTGTCTCAGACTCTCCTGCACCATCGCAGTTGCCTACGAACAAATCGTTAGGTCCCTCCATAGCAATGTCATGGCCAGCTCCGTTTTCTTTCATTACAAGGTGACCTGAAAAAGCCCAGAAGTTTAGTTCAGCCTCCTGCCAAGACATTGCTGCAGGTGTTTTCTTTGCCATTGCAATCTAACAGCAAAGTCCTCAAGAAATCCTTGCCCCTTTATTACTCGCTGCAGAAAAACTTCAGTGTGTTGCTCCAGGAGTATAGTTTAGCCTTTCATATGAGACAATTTGCTTGACTTGTCATTGCACACACAGACACAAAACACATATACACCCTCCCATCATTTTCATCTAAATATTTCCATAAGCACTGAACTAACAAGGGTACACATCCAGAGAACACTTGATATTTAAAAACATGCCAGCACTGCACACAAATACATTATTCACCTACTTCCATAATCAAAAGACAGAATTTGCATGATACAACTCCATCATGCATAACATCTTGAAGTAAACTGCATTTGTTTTAAAGGGTTATAAAACAACATATAAATGAAATAAAAGTACTATTATTAGACTACAGCAGTATGCTTTGGGCAGGAAAACACCTAAATTGAAGCAAAATTTGGCATTAATCCAGTGATGAAAGACAAAAAGACAGAACTACCAGCACTTCAGAGATGTACCTCCTATCCCAAAGAAAGCTTTAAGGAACTCAGTTGCCCACTACAAACCTTCAAGCAAACAGAGAATACTGGACACTGAATTGCCACATCCACAGGATGATGCTCTCAGGCACACAATACACCCTTTAAAGCAGTGACCAATCCCAAATATTCACAAGCAATGAGACAAAATGACAATTAACTTGGCTCCTACGTTAGAAGTGTACTAATATATTAGACTACACACATAATACACCCAACTGAATAGAAGAAAACTTAATTCCTGCAGTTTGGGATGAAGGAGAGGGAAAAGTGTTTAGGATTCTTCCCTTCAGTACTTACTTTAAAGACAAGCTGTGTTATATTAGCACATGATTCCTACCAGCTTCTTCTTCACCACACCACGCAAGTAAATTCCTCAAAATCAACCTTCTTGGCTCTGGTATTTCAACCATTTACAGCTTTAGTAAGGAGAATGTTAAAGGCAAGAGAGTAACTTGAAAGGAACCGTATAACTCTGAAAGCACAAATTTATGCTGCTTTGCAAAGGCATAAAGGACACAGGCAAAGTAAATCTTCATCTCCTTGGCTTTTGAAGCTGAATACAAACAACATCCTGCTGATACAAACAACATTGAGAAGTTAAGCTGCTCATATGCTCAATATATTAATACTTTAATCTAAAGTAGATTTATTTTTCCATTCAATTTTCAAGTGATGACACTCCAAACCAAGTTCCAAGCGAAGTTACCTCATGCTTACCAAATATTTTGGAGCTTTGGATCTGCGAAAAATTATGAGGTGTTTCAGTTACGATGCCTGAAGTATGTTAGCAGCAAATGAAAAAAAAAAACCAGAAAACTAGATTTCATCATCATTCAACCATTTCCTCTCAGTTTGAAGATGTAAAGAAGACATGGCAGTTTTGCTAAAGCAGCACATTTAGTTCTTTGAGATAAACTAAGTTTGTTCCAGAGATACCGATGGCACACACTTTGAGCATGCTGGAACCCAGCAACAGAACACAAGGACAGCTGTCTTGGGACATATCCTCTATCTATTATGGTTAATAACAAAGCTCAGGGGAAAAAATACAGCAGTAGGGTAAATACATAGTGATATTTATCCAGTTTCTTTTTATAAGCAGCCCAGAAGTGCCTAAAGTTTTATAAAATCAACCAGGCTCTCTGAAAAAGTTCCCCCTAAGGGCATCTGCCACTCTCCAACCACGGCACAAATTCATGGGGGGCACGAATTACATATCAGGGAGGAAATTAGGGCATAGTTGATACTCTTAAGTACAGGAGTTACAATTAGCTTTATATTAACTCGTACCAGGTTTGAGATCTAGCTTATCTCTGTCATGGAAGGGCAGGCAGATGCTGTTAAGGAGAACTGGGGGCTTCCACTTAAGAGGTTTCTCAAGAGATGTTTGTGTAGATAACACCGGTAACTGTAAGATGCACCCTTATCACTTATGCTGACCACGTTAGATCTTTGAAGTATAGTTAAGAAATAGAGGAGATTCCAGAGTCTCACAAAACAAGAACCAACACCTGCCCACTTCAACAAGTGGAGTCCCCACAACCCGAGTCACCACCGGGGAAAGCCCAGCTGTTCACCAGAGGCCACGAACGACTGTCAAAAAGGTGGGAAAAAATGTACGCGTAACCCGAGCACACCGCAGGTCCTCACACAAGCAGCCTTCTCCCAAAACACAAACTCACTCACAGCTCCTTTCAAAGCCCACCGCGCCTTGGCTTTGCTACTTTCAGCAGGCACTTTATAGTGGGTGTGTCGCTCGACATGCCCAGAAACACAACCCGAGTTGCTCCAAGCAGAGACCGCCACTCCGGCGCCCCTCAGCGCCACACGAGGGGCTGCCCCCGCCGCCCGGGGGCACAGCGCCGAGAGCGCCGCTGAGGGGGGCCATGGAGGCCCTGTCCAGCGCCGGCCAGCGACCCCCGCGACGCCCCCCCGCGCCCCAGCCCTGAGGGCGCATGAGGGCGCCTCCCCCTCGGCCCGCGCCCCGTCACACCGCTCCCGCCGCGCGGCCCCGGGCGGGGAGTAGCGGGAACACCCGGCCCGTGCCCCCGCGCCGGGGGCAGTGTGCGGGGCGGCGTCCCCCCACCTGTGGCTCGGCTCCCGCCGCATCTCCGCCAGGCGCGCCGCACCGCTCCGCGCACGCTGCGCGCCGCCCTCGGCACGGAGCGGGGCGGGGCGCGCGAGGGGGGGCGCCGGGAAGCGCGGCGGCGCGCGACGTCTCGGTGAGCGCGGCATGGCGCGCCGCGGACCGCCGTTGTGGCTGGGAGAAGGGCTCGTCAACGACACGTGGTCCGGTGTCGGTCGACAGCGGCGGACAGCAGCGGCGATGGCGCAGCTCACGGCGCGGTTCCGCACCGAAAACCGCAGTTGAGGGCCGCCCCTCGCGGGCCGGGGTGGGTTCCGGGCGCGAGTAACGCGGAGGCGGTAACGGCGCGCTGTGCCCGCAGGTTCGCCGTGGAGGATGTGCCCTTCTCGGTGCCCGCGTCCTCCGAGACCACGACCTCAGCCAGCTCATCAACAAGGCTGCTGGGCCAGCGCACGGTGGTACCGCGGCGGGGGCGGCCCCTCGGAGCCCCCCGGTGTCCCCGTGTCGGCCGGGCGGGCCGGGCAGCGCCGGTGGCCGCCGCAGGACCTCGGGCTGTCACAGCCGGGGACACCCGGGGACCCTCGCGGGACGGCGGCAGCTGAGCCCGCCCGGCCCGGCTGTCTGGGCCTGGCTGCCCACAGTTAGGCTCTCCTGGAACTCCGTCTGAAACCCCGCAGGTACCGGGGCTGGGCGGCAGTCCCGGCAGAGATGCTCCAGAGGCTGGGATAGTGTGTGCCCAGCGCCACAGGCTAGGCTGCCACAGCAGATGGGAGTGGAAGCGCTGCCCAAAGCCTGGCACGAGAACTGATGAAACCAAATGTTTGGGTTTTATGAAAGCCTTTGAGAAAAGCTCAGCCCCTCTGTCAGTGCCAGCTGAAATGGGCCTGACTGACTCGAAAGATTTTCTGGGGAAAGACACCTGTGCCATGCTGTTGAAAAATCCCGTGATCTATAAGAAACTGGACCAATGGTATCTTCTTGAGTCTTCTGCAAGTTGCTTTTAACCCATGAAGTCGCAAACAACCTTGAATAGAAAGCTAGTACACAGTTGCAGTGCTTCTGCCAAAATGTGGGGCCTTTGTCAACTATGTCATTACAGAGGGAGAAGTGTGAACCAAAAGTTCCTAGGATTTTCATTTTGCTGCCACAAATACAGGGCTCTAGCTGATGGTAACAAAGATGTGGACTAGCAGTGGCAAGACCCATACAGAACAGTATGGAAGCACCACTGGGGTTTGATTACACATAGCTACAGAAAAATTACAATAAGAGGTGAACTTAACTCTTTGAACCCCAACAGCAAATTTTCCATCCTCTGAAATAATCCACTGGGATTCATGGGCTACCCACTTAAAACTGGGAGAAGAAACTAACTGATTTGGCTGGTTTTTTTTTTTCTGTCATTTTTGGTTGGTTTGGGGGTTTTTGTTTAGTTTTGTTTTGGTCTTTTTTTAACCTCTTCCTGTCTCCTTCTCCTGTACTAGCCACAAAATGATGCTGTTCTTGATGGTATCAAATAAATAGTGACACCTGAACATGGATTTTTCCTAATTTGTTTTAGAGGATCACAAATATGTGGAATTTGATTTCCTTATCAATGGCCAGTTCTTGCGAGTGCCGCTGGTCACACACATGGAAATGGAAAATATCTCCACGGTAAGTCATACTCAGTTTCTCCCCTTCTTGGGCAGCAGAACAGACATAGCCAGTTTACTTCAATCTGCTTTAGGTATTACACTATCATCCTGACTAGGTAGATTTCCTTGCTCGGTTTTACTTCTTTTATGACTTTCCCAGGAGAATTCCATGTATTTTTAAATCCATTCTGAACTGCAAAGTGATTAGAGACTATGGGACTGAGCAGTGCAAGGAACATCGTTACCCATTCTTTTGTCTGTGTACAGTCCAGAGGGAAAATTCTTGTTTTATTCAGTTCATCATTAATATGTTTTTGTCTCTTACTTTGGGGGATAATGGGGGAGGTTAATATTACCTCCAGAAAAACGTTGTGAAGTGCTGTAGACACCAGTTTTGTATGGTAAATACAGAAGAGAATTCAAGAAGAGCAAAATTACTTGCTTTTGCTTTCAGCTTGCTATTAATAGTAACTTGATAAAAATATGGAAAGCAATATAATTCCCACTTTTTTTCTAAAGACTTTAGTTCCACTATTGTGGCAAAGGACTTAGATACCGAGATCTTTGCTTTTGTGTATTTGTACCATGCTACAGTTAAATTTTATTGTTATTGATTAAAAAACCCAAAACCTCACTAAATAAGTATTTCTTCTGTGAGCTCAGGAAGAAGTGGTGGAAATAGAGTATGTGGAGAAATATATGGCCCCTCAGCCAGAAGAATGCATCTTCCACGATGACTGGATCAGTTCTGTTCAAGGCACTGAAGAATGGTACCACACTAAGCCAATTCTAAGTTTTGTCTTGCTTATTCCTGTTCCTCCATAGTGTTAAATGGGGGGAGTTTTTTCCCCTCTTTGCTCTGTTTCTGTTTTATTTTTTTTAACCTGGCAAGTCAATCAGCTACTTGCTTTTGTGAGCAGTTCACTGACAATAACTATAACACAAGTAGAAAAAAGCCAGAGTCACTGAACATGAGGTATTGCTAATATAAAGAAATAAAACAAATGCTGTTTACTATCCTTTCTCTTAAAGGACAGTGATATTTCCTCATCTCTTTTGCTTAAACCCTTGACTTCCAATGTGACGCTCATTAGCAACAAATAGAATAGTGTAACTTTATGCAGAGTTTATCTTTAAAAAAAGCCAAACAGCCATAATTGTCTTTTTCTACTGTGTTTTCACATTCATTTCCCAGTCAACCAGATGATGTTCATATATTAAGCAATGGTTTGAAAATGCTTTGAGAACCTATAGTAATATACTAGAAACGACAAATTAAATTTTAAATTATGTAAATTATATAAGTGATTTTCACTTACCAGAATATGTAGTACTCTCACTGCTTTTCTTTTTGGCCTGTACTCCTAGCTCCTCGCTTGTAGGCTTTAATGAAGCTTTGCTCTGTAACAAAAAGATTTTTTTTTACTTTTCCAAGCTATTTCTTTTTAAACCAGTTATTGTGCTAATATTTTTCCAAGTTTCTGGTTGAGGCTTTTTTTTTTTCATAAAAACACTGTTGGTCCTAAAGACAATGATGTTTCAAATTCTGTACCCTGTAGGATATTAACTGGCTGCTACGATCAGACTGCTCGAGTCTGGTCTTTGGAAGGAAAATCCATCATGACAATAGCTGGGCATACAGAAGTAGTGAAGGATGTGGCCTGGGTGAAACAAGGTCAGTATATATGTTAGGGGAGTCGTAATACTTTGAGTTACTGGGGGAGAAATGTCAGCATTCCTCAACCACGAATATTTAATTATTTAAATGCTGTAATTATTTCGGTCATGGTGTGGGTAAAATAGTTTTTTAACGGTAATAAATATAATTACTTTAACATGTACCTTGTCTATCCACCTTGCAGTCTTCATTAGTAAATAGTGGTAAATATATTAATTGTACTTGCAGGGTAACGTGATGTAAACTGAAATACATACAAGTTTCTATCCATCTGCTATTTCTTCTCTGATTATAGACTATAAAGACTTTGGAAGGCTGAGTTGGGTGTGAGCATAACTTTTTTCTTCCTCAGACAGTTTATCGTGCCTGTTACTCAGTGCTTCTATGGACCAAACTGTCCTGCTGTGGGAGTGGAACGTGGAGAAAAACAAAGTGAAAGCCCTTCACTGCTGCAGGGGACATGCTGGGAGTGTAGACTCCATAGCTGTGGACTGTACGAAAACCAAAGTGAGTGACTCCGGGAAAGAAACCTTTGTATTTGGGGATGTTAGCAGCCCATATCCCAAAAATCATCTCTTTGTCCCTGAATAGGTACTTGTCATAATGTTTTTCGGACTGACACACTGATAAGTTTCCAGCCTTGTTATAAAGGTGGTTATTGAGAATTAGGAGTGCTATATCAATGCTAAGCCATAGAATCATAGAATCATTTAGGTTGGAAAACAAGTTAAATGTTTGTTTTAAAGTATATTTTACTTTAAATGCATGTGAATTTTGTGTTATGGTGAGCTATTTTCAAATTTGACCTAAATTTCCACAGTGGTTTTGGTGGGGAAAAAAACTTCCAGAGTGGTACTCAGAAAAAGTAAGTGGTAAAAAGGTTCTTTCCCTTCATGCAGGAATTCAACACTCACATCAAAGGTGGAGTTATTGCTCCCAGCTTGACTCAATATCAGACAAGTTAAAGTAAAACCTTTTGGTGCTGAAGGAAATAGATATTTAGTAGATATTTTCCCTACAAAGGAAGGAAAAAGAATAATTTTATCTATGCCAAACATTTGTTTGTTTTAGGATCCTAGCACAATTCTTCATTACCATTAGGTAATTTTCAAGTAGTTCTGTCTTGCAAGGTCTGTCTGGATCAACTTTTAACCAAATATTTTTGTTCGTACAGTTCTGCAGTGGATCCTGGGATAAGATGTTAAAGATCTGGTCTGCAGGTAAGATGTAAGCTTGTAAGGCTATATTAAGTTACTGGTTTGGTTAATTACACAATTTCAGGTATGGTTATCCACCTGCATGATATTTGTAGGCACTGTAAATACAGGGTTTTGTTTAATTACTTGCATTGAGATGGAATTCAAAAACTTCTGGCTCATGTCTGCCTGTCTTCTGTCACAGTACCTACAGATGAAGAGGATGAAATGGAAGAAGCAGCAAACAGACCACGGAAGAAGCAGAAAACTGAACAGTTGGGACTAACGAGGGTAAGATGAGCTCCAGGTTTGTCCAGGATTTTTCTTTAGAAGTGTGGCCACACAAAATTTCCCCCATCGTTAAAAATGGCTGTATGAAAACTTCTGATGTGTTCAGACACATTTTTATTTATTGAAAGAATTGATTTTTTGATGATATTCAATCCAGTCTGTCACCATTAAATTCTAGACTCCCCTGGCAACCCTCTCTGGCCACACAGAAGCTGTCTCCTCTGTGCTGTGGTCAGATGCTGAAGAAATTTGCAGTGCATCATGGGACCACACCATTAAAATCTGGGATGCTGAGACTGGAGATCTCAAATCTACTTTGGTGAGATCATTATCCTCTGTCTGTAGGTTCAGCTGAAGTCCAGCTCAGAGAAAAAGAAGTTGCACAAAATAGTAGCTCCTCTCTTAGAATTACTGTTTGCTTTTCTGACAGACAGGAAACAAAGTGTTTAATTCTCTCTCCTTCTCACCACTGTGTCGACGTCTGGCATCAGGCAGCACTGACAGACATATTAGGCTATGGGATCCTCGCAGCAAAGGTGAGCTAAAAACATGCATGGTCTCAGAGTTGTTTTTCAAAATCAGAACTTTTTCCTGTTGGGAGACATCTCAAACTATTTTCTGGTCCCTCTGCTTGAAACCAGCCACTTAGGGGGGCTTTTATTAAATACAAAGATTACATCTGTTTTCTGTAATCTGGTGTAAGACTTCTTTTGTTTCCTTACATAGTAATTAAGAAATCTAACTGAGCTTAGGTTTTGCTTGGTTTTTTTCTTAAACTTACTAATGTTCAACTGTGCAGTTGCAGGACTGAACCTTTTTATTTTTTTTTGTAAGGTTAATACTTAGGTTGGTCAGATCACCATTAAAGTGAAATAGTAGTAACTTAGACATGGTACTCTATATCATAAACAGGTCAGAGAAAAAGAAGTTGCACAAGGAAGTTGCTGACTGCTTTTCTCTCTGGATTTTATATGCAGTTGGCATCTGCTGATGTCTGGTTTTTTTCCCTCCTTTTCTGTTCAGATGGCTCCTTGGTTCTGCTGTCTCTGACTTCTCACACAGGCTGGGTGACATGTGTGAAGTGGTCACCTACCCATGAGCATCAGCTGATCTCTGGATCTCTGGACAACATTGTGAAGCTTTGGGACACGAGGAGGTAACATAAACCTGCATTTTGTTGTTGTTCAATAACAAAAGCAGTCAGAGACATTGATTAGAATCTCCTGTGGCATCTGTGAGAATCCTCTAGGTTTTGGGAGTCAGGCATATAATAAAAGAGAGAAAAGTACTTTTAGACTACTAGGGGGCCTGTGGCTTAATATCTGAGGGGGCTGCATGGTGCTCCCATGGGACTTACCTGGCAGTAACAGCAGCATTTGGTGACACGCAAAAAGCAGCAACCGTAACATTGCCACTGAGATTAGGAACAGCAAGTGGTCTGCTGACCACTATTCTATTTTAAGGAACAAAATAATTCTCTTTCTAAGAAAAGAGCCTAACAGTGTGAAGTTTTACTTGATACGTTTTTCAGATCCTTCATTACAGGTTTCCAAGCAGTGAAATGCTTTGCATTCAGAAGACAGAAATGGCTTTCCTGGAAAATGCACACAGTTGAGCAGCATCCACACATGGAAGAAAGAAACTAAATAATAAACTGTTCCTAAACACTGGTTAAATTTCAGTATTAAGGTAGTTTGCAACTAGATGAAGGATGTTGCTGCTTTGCTCTTTGGGGATGTAGGGGAGGATAATACTAATGTGATCAGCTCTGGGGAAAGCAGTGGAAACATCACAGATGGTAGATATAAATACTTTAAGAAAGTACAGATAATTGCTTGATCACATCTGTTTGATAGCTTTGTGATATTATTTCTTCCAGGGACCAATTCTATTTTCTGTGATTGCTCACGTAATTTCAAACATGTGACTGTAAATACCTGTTTTTTACTAGTTGCAAAGCTCCTCTGTATGACTTGGCTGCTCATGAAGACAAAGTTTTGTGTGTGGACTGGACAGAAGCAGGGGTAAGAATCTGAAGAGCAAGTTACTGAATTTATGAGTGGTGGTTAGGATGAGGGCTAAAAGCAGTCATGGAGTGTTATGCTTAAAGAGAGAACAGGAAGTTTGAGTTGTGCTGTGGTTGATAAGTGGGTGTTACTGTCACATGCACTGCAGCACATCCCCACACTCCTGTGCAAAAGAGTGGGGTGGGAGCTGGAGCTCTGTAGCATTAACTCAGTGTTATACTGATATTCCAGACAAGGAGAGCCACGAGAACAGCACTGCACCTCACGGAGAAAATACACGTTCCAGGGCACCATTTTCTGCCACTGAGACTAAAGTGGCAGCATGAAGTGGAAGCTTGTGCATGCCAGTACATGTAGAAGGGGGAAACTATATAATCCTCTATAGGAAACTTACCTGCTACTGTAGTGGTACACATGTTTTTAAAATGACCAAAAAAAACCCATTTTGTTGACATCCCAAGATGCTCATTGTGGCTCCTGTTGTCAGTAAAAGTCAGGAAAAACTTTAGCAAAGTTCCTACGAAAACTTTACTTGTAATTTTAAGAGGAGGGTAAGAAACAAAGTTGGTTCTGCACATTGATTCTGGGTTTTAGTCATGCATTAACAGTTCATTATTCATTACTTCTTTTTATGTCTTCAAAGGACAGAAAAATTGAGTCCTCGACTTGTGTGCTTGTTTTGCTTAGTTCTGATATTAATCACAGTTTTCTTCTCTCATCAGTTGTTACTGAGTGGAGGTGCAGACAACAAACTGTATTGCTACAGATACCCAGCTACAGCCACTGATGTTGGGGCATGAAGGTCAACAGCCAGAAAACTTTTTTTTACAAAAAAGGAATTTTTCAGCAGTTGCTCTCTGTTAACATCCTTACACAATCAACATCTGAAGAAATGACGAGTTTGTTGCTCAGAGAGCTGTTCCTGGTTTTATATTGGTAACCTATATCCATATTTGTCACAGAAAAATAGCAAAAAAACAAATAGGATTCATGTGAAGCAAAGCAAAGGGAACTTCCTCCCTTTCTGATGGCTTTGAATTAACATCTTCTAAATGACTATTTGTATAGCCCTTTTAATAAGAAGTAAATTGTTGCCGATACTTACAGAAAAACTACTCACTGACTAAATTATTTTTTGAATTTACCTGTTTTCCCCTGAAAAAAAAATAAAGATCTTATCAACAGTTCATTGGTTTAGTGCATCATTTCAGAAGAAAATCAGATTTCAGCTCTCCTCTCAACAGGGCTGTTGGCAGTTCTTACAAATAAGTCCTTAATTGATAAACGCAGGCTTTTTTCTAGGATGAAGATTTGGTATGATTGCAGTGCAAGGGGCTTGATATAAAGGAACTTGACAGATTTACTGGCAGATGAAATATTCCAATTTGTTGGAGCTCATAAATTAGGGCTGTAGATGTCTCTGTAAATGTGCGTGCCTTGTGCCACAGTACATGTTGTGTTGCAGTACAACTAATGCAGTATATCTTGCTTCTAGAAAGCAACAGATGTATTGAAACAAGTGGAGAATCACACAGAGAAGGCAGAAGACTAAGTGATTTGTTCCTAGAAAGAGTGGATACAAGAAGCTGCAATAGCTTTTAGGGTGATAGTACTATCCAAACATGCTCAGTTTCTCTGCTGGTGGTTTTGCTTTTGGTTCAGCATTAAAATGAAAAAGCTATTCCTGCAGCTTGTTAGATGCCATGTGTGTGATGTTAAACCAGCATATAGTTCAGCAGTGTGGAAAACAAACTTGAATAGCCTCACTAATGTCTTGCCTTTCAATAAATGTAAGACCTGTACAGAACAACTAAGTCAAATGTTTTAATTGCAAGACAATTTTCTTTGAAGAGTGACAGCTCTGACCTTCAGGTTTATAAGATAGACAAGTTCTGAGTAAGGAGTTTTAAGAAATACCAGAACAGCAAAACTGTAGTGAAAATGGCAAGGGTACAGGGGAAGATCTCTGATCCCTTTGGTCTGCAAGTGAAGTACTGCAATTAACAGAATATTAACAAATGCTGCTTACAAGGAATTGGTGTCTTGTCCTCATTATCCATGTGCATGTTCTTAGTACGTGTTTGTCCATTCTAAAGCAATATATGCCATTCATACATTAATATAGCAGCTAATTTTTTTCTTCTTTAAACTTGATTCGTTTAAAACATTGCCTTCTATTTACCCCACAGACTGGAACTTGTAAATAAGGTCTGAATAGCTATTTTGTTTTGTAAACTTACCAAAAATACGAAGCATCTTTTGAGCAGGAACATGCAGCACTCCCTTGTCCTCACTATTAGAGATGTGTATAATTTCACACTACACTTGTGGATATGCCAGCCTATTGCAGCAATCATTGGTCTACTGTTCATAAAAGTTTAAAAATAATTTTATAATAATTTTTTAGTATTAAAACAAAAAAGAGTAATATCCTCCCTCAGTAATCCTTAATACAGTATACCTGACTCTTGGAGGTCTTAACCAAGTAAAGTTTGCAGATGTTTTTAGTGGAAAGCAAGGCAGTGAAGACAGTTAGGAAACTGTTAAATTTCTCTTCAAGATTCCCAGTGACAATTCCATGTAAAGTCTGGAGCTATTTTGTGTATTATGTTTATTACACTCTTTTCAGTTTTTCTTTCAGATAAATTACACCTGAGCATGACTTCTGGAATTACTGTAGTATTTTGCAATCAGAGAGCTGTGGAGCACCTCCAGCCAATTAAGCAGCTGATAAAAATAAATGGGTTCCTCTTATATGCATATGTCTAAAGACTCATAAATGTCATAAGGTGACCTTAATATGGTTTCTTGCCTTCCCCAAAAGATTTACAAAATACTTTTTAAAAAGGTCATGTCACTTGAAGTGTTGGCTTAGCTTAGAAAGATTAATATTAATTTAGACTTTAGAAACCCCAGCTGGCATTAGTTGTTTCACTTTCAAACATCAAATCCATTAGATTTACTACACTTATCACCTGTAATAGATACACAGAACGTACCTAGAAAGGTAGGTTTTGATGGACCACAGTTAGAAGCAGGAGCATTTTTACACCTTCCTCTTGTTTGGAAAAGGACTGTGGCAGACAAAGAAACAATAATAAACCATATTAACATGAAGTGATACCAGTGTAAATACAACATAATTTTTGAATGCATCTGTATTAACTCTGTCCATAAATCATCCTAAAACCTACAAAAATACTTTTTAGACTTAATACTTTTTGACTGGCAGTCCTTTGGATAATCTGTAATCTTAATTAAAATGTTTTATAAGACTCTTCCCTTCCACGCAGTTCTTTCATTTAAAATAATGATGTGAAATTACAATGGCCAGCCTGAGTTGATTTTAAAACTGCAAAAGAATTGAGTCAAAACCAAACCTGGCAATCCAGAATCAAGGCACTGATGGTGATTCTACTCACAAAAATATTTTTTTCCTCCCCTAAAAACCATTTCTGCAAATTCATAATGCCCTGGTAGGACAATATGAAACAGTAAAGAACTTCTATGTACTCTTAATTTCTTTGAACATACTACAAGTGAGGGGAATAAAGACAATGGTCAATTACTGCAACTGACCTATTTTTTTTAATTGATGGGAAGTAGGGGGTAGGCTCATTTTTGAGAGGCTGTGCAATACACATTGTTCTATTGCAATTTTTTCATTCTGCACTGACCTTCTGGTATAAACTGTTCACTTGACTAGCACATGTAAGCTGCCTCTGCAGTTTCCAAACCCCACCATGCACTGACACGCACATTAAAAGCATTAAGACAAGGGTTCACCACTTGGTCCTTGGTTTAATGTCACACTTGTATTTTCTGTTCATGTGTTTTCTTTTTCCCAGCTGGTTCTTTCAGCTTTCTTCTTGATTTGAGACTTTCATCTTTGCTTCTGGACGGTTGCCACCCCTTTCCTACAGTCCTGGCAGAGCAGGACTGTTTTTTCTCTCTTGTTGGCATTTGGTTTATTTTTTTAATCTCAGTCTTCTCTCAACCAAGAGATTGAATTAAAAACAAGGGGAGAGGAAACCAAATGTTCCAGTGACCTAAACCAGTGTGTGTGGATAATGCCATCCACTGTGGCACCACCCACAAGATCAGCACCATGATCATGAGAATCCCCACCAGGGAAGGGCACATCAGCTCACCCACAGTACAGATCTTCAGCTGGTGCAGCTCTGCCTGTTCCTTTCGACACACAGCCCATAACCCAGTGGTGAGGGTTTTCATTCAGGAAAAAAAAACTTACTGAATTTAAATTAATTTTGTATAAGCTGATAAATTTCCAGTATAAACTTAACATACTCCCCTAGATTTTATCACACATACCTTAGGAAATAGATCTAACCACATATGCTTAAAGCAACTTCTACAATTTAAACAAAAACATTTCAGAGAGATTGGAAGGAAAAACATGTAGAGAAAGTTTGATGAGGACTCCTGAGTTATGAGGTTTTCTCCTGCATTTTCTGACATTTCTGCAGCAGAAAGCACTAGACAGGCACATGCACAGATTCCCCAAAGGAAAAATACATGCTTTTGTTACACTCTCAAGTTGATTTAAGTCTCATTAATCATCAGCTTGTTACTTAAATGTGTAATGGTGGCAGGTTGTGCCCTCTGCACCTCTATATGACAACTAAATGGCTGAGGAACATGGTTTTTCAGAGAGTAAGGCTGAAGATCATGCTCTGACAGGCAGAACTACAACCTACTCTTGATTTCTCACCCAACATCTAAGCAAACAGAATGGCTGTTTCTCTGGTTTAGCACCAACACCAGCACTGCAGTTTCCTGCAGTTGCATCTCTCCTGTGAGCTCAGGTGACAGAAGCTCAGGTGAGAGAAGCACAAGGTTACAGTGAGTTGCACAGACTACTGTCGGCTAACAACAAGTAGTAGTAGTTGCAATTCATATACCAAAAAAAGCCCAATCAAGGTTGAATCACCAATTTTGTTTGATGTAAGCACATTGGCAGAGATCTCAAACTACAGGCAAAACTTGGGTTGAAATTAATTGTTGCAAAAAACAATTTAAATTGTCCTGTAAATTGCGTGAAATGAGTGGCTTTTCAGCTGCCAGTGAGAAGCTGGCTGAGTCTGGTCTAGGAAAGACAGCTGCTCCATCTGGATGAGTCTATCAAGCCATCCAAATCAAGACATGTACAGTATGGAATGCTGAAAATGTAACTCAAACCACAAAAATGTAGATTTCTGTATCAGTTACAATATTCATATTCAAAACTTCAAAATGTCAATTTGCATGTCTGTGCAATTTATTCCATTGGAAAACTAGTAGCCTGTGACCAACAGGGGGTCTCAGCATGAGTTTAAGATACTGTAAAACTAAATAAACATTGCAATAAATGCTCTGTGATTGCTACTGAGAATTTCAGCCTATAATGTATAATTTAAGCAAAGAAATTTCTTCAAATGTTTGAAACCATCTCTGAATGCAAACCAGAACTCACAAAAAATGTATGGAGAAACATGATATGCCAATTATAGCAAAACATCCCAATAATCTAGATTACTTATCCAAAAGAGTCCCTCTCATCACACTTCCTATTGTATATGGTCTATAAATTTAGAATAGAAAAGTTCTGATCTTCAGTCAGACCACAGCTGCTCTAAACTGCATGTGAAAGACAGCTGAAATCACTTGCAAGAGCCTTCAGGAAATGCTCACTGAATTAATTCCTCTCCTTCAACTCTCCCTCTATCCCAATTCTTGAAAAACATTCCCACATGCACGCACAGAGCTATCTCATGGATTTCTGCATACCAGATAGGTCAAAAAATGAGCAGAGGCAAAATACAGAAGAAATATTGGAAATTCAAACAAATTCACCAAAGAATGAAGATGAATATGCAGCAATATCTGATGCAGGGCTGGGTGCCAAATTCAAGATAAACCTAAGGATTTTAAGCAGTCAGTATGAATTGATATGTAAAATATGAATAGATGAAAAAGGCATCATTTTCCTTGCCACTAAAAAGTACTAGTTACTTTCAACAGGGCAGTCTCAATCACTTGTATCATTTGAGGAGTCCAAAATCAAGTATTAGAATTACATTATTGCTTTCTGAAGCTGTCCAACACCAGAGAGGAGGACTTTCTTAAATTCTTCTCCGCTCTAAGTGGTGTCACTACCATATCTGTTCACACATCCCTGCACACA